ACGCAAACAGAAATACGCGCGATAAGCAACGTACGATAAATCGGTATTATTTTACCGCGTCGAGATAATACGCGCGCCTCTCGCCATCGATTTCTACGTTTTCTGTTCCTGCTGCCCCCTCCCCCCCCCTCCTCTCCCTTTGCGCTGTAGAGCGCTGCAAAATCAGTTGTGGCCGTCGAAATGGCCTGGCGCGAGCATCCTAAAGTGGAATCCCCTTGTCTTCTCTCACGTCATGCAAAAGGGTGATAATAAATTTTGAACTTCCTATTGGAAAAATTACAATCGGATAGAAGTAGCAAATGCCTCATTGTTCGATAGAATAATCAGGAGTTGATATTGAAATTTATTACTGCGAGATTCGTATGTTTCATATTAATTGCAAAAAAATTGTTAAAAAAAATGTATTATGATAGGAAGATATATTTTACGCAATAATGGATATGTACTTGATTTAAGATTTCAATTGATTTTGAAATTCTAATCTTTCTAACGAGGAAAGATCTATCGTACGGACGATAGATAAATTTTATTGTCTCTGCTGTAATCTCTCGAGTTTATTTAATTATCTCTGAAAAGAGTATTTGGAAGACGTAGAAAACGATATCGATTACTGATTCATCGCTTTGTACGCGATTTATTAAAAGCGTACGCATTGTCTACGTAGTTTTAAAAATTTTTCGTTAAATTCTCTGTTATGGATCTTATCTCAAGATACTTACATAGTAACCAGCGAACTCTGCTTCGGCTTGAGATCTTTGCAAGGAATCTGCACATCAGATTGAAACGTCAAGAGCCCGGGATTAAAATCTAATTCGTGCATTTTCTTTGAGTTCTCGTTTGTCTTTGTCTAAAAATAAAAAATGAATTTAGATCTGCATTCGTGCATTTAGCAATCATCCAAACAAATGTAGGTTGTTATCTTTATTTTTTATTTCATTGCACACGCAGTTGTGTTACGCAGTTGTGTATATACGAAATTTTTTTCGATTGTTTTAGTAATTTTAATATCTACAATCTATTTTTTTATTAAAATTGAAGTGTTTTAAACAAAATAAATTTTAATTATTTTTTTCATATTTTTGAAAAAAAAGAAGAGACAAATTAAACGTGTTATAAAAACAAATACAAAAATTAAAAAATTAAAATTAAATTAAAAAACAAAAAAATATTGTAGCTATTTTTTAATGAATTTGAATGTTGCCAACTTTTAAACGCATTTTTTTTCAAAAAGTTGATTTTGAAAAGCTACATTTTTTCAGAGGAAGTCGCACAAACACATGTATATATTATTAATTTTTCTTACCAAGTTCACATTGCACGATTCATAATTTTTTTCGCGATCGAGATTTACGATGCAAGGTGAATTCGCCATTGTGGAAACAAATAATTCGCTACGCTGTATCGGGGGTGATCTCTTTGGCACAGTTAGGATTGTGTTGTAACTAGCGGTTGTGTCTACGCTTCCGTACCTAAGCAGGACAATAAAAATACAATAAAAAATCATGAAAATTCAGATGATATAGACAAATAATATAAATATATGATTAAATGATGCATTAATATAATGCTATATTAAATATAGATTAATAATTTATATGAATTGTGTCAATATAACTTATTATAAACAAGATGATAAATGAATATATCTATAAAGATTAATTACATCATCATCATCATCATCATCATCATCATCACATTACATTATCCAAATTTAATGAGATACATTTCTCTCAAAGATTATCATACATCAAGGAAGAACCAGCCGGGCTCGGATCCAAGTCGCTCGTTTCCGAATCGTCGAATATCACTGGTTCCGGGCTCGTGCGAGATTCCGAAGAGAGTAACGGCGTGCTCTCGGATCCACTGTCGCGTGGCGAAGAGTCGCTGCCTGGGTAAATACGGGACTTATACATAACGTCTCTGACGCTGATACAAAAAAAAAAGATATCGTTGTAGCAACGCAAAAATGTTATCTCAAAAAAATATAAAGAAAATTCTTCTTTTCTTTTTTTTGTTTTCATTCAAGACCTCGGCGCTTTCTCGCACGCGCAGTGTGTTCTCGGAGCAGCGAAGAGATCAGTCGGGCGAAGAGATACACGTGTGCAAACACTCACTTGGGGAAGCATGAAACTGAACAATGAGCGTTTTTGCGTCATATTAAACTTACAATTACACTTTATGGGATTTCTTTCCATGTCATCGCATTCTTCTGCTTTTTTTATTTATTTTTGTCTTTTAATATAAAACCAACGATTAAATATAACGAACGCGTATCACGCGCGAGGTGCGAGCACAGATAGTGAATTCAATAACTTACGGCACGTATTCGGTTTTATCGGAACGATAAATGTATCTCCCTGTGGTCCAAATTAACCGATTAACCAGCGGGATCGCGCGAAAAGTTATCGGCAGTTTTTAGCCGCACGATAAATCCGATATCACCTCCTCCCGCGACCAACCTCGTGCGCGAAAAGCTGTAAGAATTTTCAACTCACGCTTCCTTTTTTTTTTCTTGTTTCCCTCCCTGACGCGATCGATCAGATCCGGTCCTCGCGATGCAGGTTGAACGACCCGACGAGGTCGGGAGGGAGGACACGCTCGGTTCCCGCGGGACGTGGCTACCGATCGCGCGCCCTCGTCTGGAAAACTGGGTTTTGGAGTAGGTACGTTCCCGTTTTATAAACTCATGGACTTTGTATCAGTCATATCCTTGACTTAACACGCCTCCCTCCAGCCGCGTTTTTCAACGATCGCGAGCGTGCGCGCGCGTCTGCCGAGCGCGGCTAAAAACCGCTGACCGACTCGACGATCGGTTGTAACGATTGCGTGTATGCCGCACGCAGATTCGCAGATTCTCTCCTTCCCCGATCCTCATCTGAATGATACCGATGATCCCCGAGATACCCGCTGTGAACACTAAAAAATAATGTCTTGGTGAAGATTATCTAGAATTAAGAAATTAACTGGAATAAATGATTAACAGCACCGCGATATCGCATATATCTTGTGTCTAATCAATATAGACAAAAACAAAATTTAAGCAATTTGTCAAATTTAGCAAGAAGTCTTTCTGTAGCCAGGTAATAGTCAATCTTACCCCCCTTATAAAAGTGACTACGTGATTTGGTAGTGAGATCTAAATTTTTTTGTGTATTTAGTTAGATATTGTTGTTAAATAAATTCTACGTGCGATAGACAATTTTCTAGCAGATACAAAAAACAGCGATACATTTTAACTGTAAGTTTAGAATTTTAGCTGGACCAACGAAACATGATTTCCGCGAGGATGACCCGTTCTCCAATACGCGACGAAGCGAAATCGCAGCTTTGATCCCTCGGGGGCGAAAATTACACGAACTGAACGTGCATCTTCCCCTTCGTTTTCAACGTCGTAAGTAAAATTGTAATCTAGGGGAAGATAATCGTTAAATCTATCGTAAAGTACTCAAAAAACTTTTGACTTAACTAACCCACTTAAAATTCTTAAAATGTATCGCTGTTTTTTTATATCTACTAGAAAATTGTTTGTCATACGAAGAAAATTTTTAGCAACAATGTTTTAATAACATATGTGAAAAAAAATTAGGTCTCATATCCAAGTAACTTTTATAAAAAGTGTGACTGGCTTATCTGATTGGGAGAGACACAGAGATTTTCTTACTAAATTGGACAAATAGACGGATATTCTGTCTTTATCATCTATTGATTAGATACAAAGCATGCGACATCACAGTGCTTGCTGGTCATTTATCTATTTTAATTAATTTTCGATTAATTCTTAATCTTAATAATTTTCGTTACGATTGCAACACTATTTTGTTCAGCGAGCCAATTAAATTGTTGATGTAAATAGCCTATTTATGACGTGAGCTTAATTGTGCTCGTTACGCGTATCGTTCTTCTTTCATGGCGGTTTCCGCGCCCATAAATTCCGGGGATGACCTCCTGTCCATTTCAATTTCGATCATACGTGTAATTCCGGGTTTTTCCCGCGGGGATTTCTTCTTCCCCGGCGTTTCCTCGGAAAAACGAAGAGGAGATATTTCATGAATCGTGATATCCTCTCGACGTTGAACAGCGAAATAGAGGCTCCCCTTTCAAAGACAGCAGTCGAATGTGATCTTCCTTTTATTATTAGCACTTGAAACAATGTCGAACTCGCGACCTATCCATTTATCTCTTAGCGACTTATATACGTAAGAACGTCCGAACAGAGAGAGACACGCTCTATACATCTGTTATCTTAATTTGAAGCAACGTAGTGACGTCAAAAGTGCAGATTAAAATATGTGTTTTTTTTGTCACTGCCTAACTGGTTTTGTATCGATTCAGAACGACGAATTGTTACGTTAATATGAATTACTTGTTCCTGCGATTTTATCTTGTTCACTGAACGCGACGGGAGCGAATTCTCCATGATTCCTCGCGATACATTCGCGGTCCGAAAACTGTCACGTATCTTTTTCTATCTTCTTATTTAGCTTCCGCATTACGTTAATTTACGTCATTTATCTATGAAACCGTTATCTGTATTACGCATAACGTTCGCGATTACGCGAACCATTCGCTATCCATCTTCGCCGTCGTTCTGCCTATTCATCCGCTCGAAAGTTAGAGAAAACTGCTGATTTCGCAAGCTCGGCTATCAAGAAGCTCGAAGCACGATTCTGAAATTGAAAAAAATTTATAAATAAAAAATGATAGTTTTTATCTTGCATTGTTCTTCTGCCTTTCAAAAAATGATTCTCGATATCAAGACGCCGATAGATAGATAGCTCATTAATATAATTTAATCAGCTCTTATATTATCATTTTACTAATTTTCATTTCGACATTATCTCAAGTAATAATCATCTAAAAATAGCTAACGCTATTTTACACAACAATTTCTATTTCAAATCAATTCATGAAAGAAAACAAAGCTTCTTTGAGTTCCTTTCAATGTTGATTTATTTCAGTTTCTAAAACAGCGACCTCCGAACGACCAGAATTCTAAGAAATGTAAATAGTTTGGTAAATACTCAAAGTAAAAACCCATCGCAAGTCGAATTTTCTTCCCGGAGGATTTACCGGTATTTAGACCTCTGACGTTCGCTGGATCGGAATTGAATGAAATTACCTTTGTAGCATTGTGATTTCGTTTCACGGAAGTGGAGTCACCCGCGATTATCAGTCGCTAAAGCGGCCCTTCCTCCTCTTTGATATCCTTTCTCGTATCCTGACACAGGACCACATCAGCTCTGTTTGGCCCATGTGATTTCGGCCGTGGTGTGCATGTGCGCGCAAGCCGCCGCGGCCGCCTCGACAGTTGGCGCGCGCGATCTTCCAAGATGGCGGCGACCGGGCGCCCGTGCCCTTGCGTGTCATTGACAGACAAAGTTCGGTCCGCCGACAGTTATCGGACGGCTGTCGCGAATACTCGATCTCTCCTCGCCGATTACGAGCGAATTAACCTCATTCAGTTTTCTGTTGCATTCTCGTTTTTCTTCCCTTTCGATTTGCAGCGTGTCCGCGGAGGCAACGTGCGAGCATGACCATGTCGTCGTCATCGTCGTCGTCGTCGTCGGTAACGAGCCTGACGGTGAGCACCCGGGTGTACGAGGGCCAGAAGCCGGGCACCTCGGGCCTGCGGAAGGCCGTCAAGATCTTCCAGCAGGAGCACTACACGGAGAATTTCGTGCAGGCGATATTACAAGCCCTGGGCGATCAGCTGACCGGCTGCACTCTCGTCGTCGGCGGCGACGGGCGGTTCTACGGGAAGGAGGCGGTGGCGAAGATCATCCGGATCGCCGCGGCAAATGGAGTAAGGCTGATTCTAACAAGGAGTTGTTTTTATCTCGCAAAAAATTCATATATTCGTATATTCATGTATATTTTGCATATATATTGACAGATTGACGTAAACTTAGATGTTACAAAGATTGGCAGTGTTATAAAAGAAGACCAGTGTCCATTTGCACTGATAGAGATTAAGAGTAGCTTATTAATTTTTATCTCGTTTTAATTTATTCTTTATCTTCTAATTCTTTTAATTCTTGAATTAGAACAAAGATAAAATGTAAATTAAACTAAGATTGAAGTTAATCTATATTGATTATGGATATAGGAAATAGAGATAATTGACCAATGACAGCAATTGTATGGAGTTTAACAGGCTTTAAATTTAATAGTTTAGCAAATTCTAAATTTAACTTTAAAACATATAGATCTAGATATATCATATCTAAATGTTCCATTATTATGCATTATGTTGATTTTTTATAATATATGTGATAATATATTTTTTGTTTAATACTTGATAATTTTATTTATAAATAGTTGAGTAATTTTTTTATAAAGATTATAGATAATTATAAAAGAGATTACAATATGAACAAGATGAATACATAATTAATTTTTTTAGGTAAGAAAGTTAATAGTTGGTCAAAATGGTATCCTCTCGACGCCAGCGGTGTCAACTATAATACGAAAGTATAAAACGCAAGGTGGCATTGTCTTGACTGCATCACATAATCCCGGTGGTCCTAATGCTGATTTTGGCATTAAATTTAATTGTGACAACGGCGGCCCTGCTCCAGACAGCGTAACAAATAAAATCTATGAAATCACTAAAACGCTCCAGTGTTATAAAATTATTCCTGATATTAATATAGATATTGACAAAGTGCAAACTGTTTCTGTCGAGGTAGATGGCAGACCATTTACCATCGATATAATTGACTCTGTAAATGATTATGTAGAGCTTATGAAAGAGATTTTTGATTTTGTGAGTATCAGAACATTGTTGCACGGCAGCAAAGATAAGCCGGCATTTAAAGTTCTCATCAACTCGATGAATGGAGGTGAGCCATTACATAATTTGCATTTGGCTTGATTTCATAGAGAATTGTCTAGATATAGATAATAATAAGAATTATCAATTTTTGACTTTTAGTTACGGGACCGTATGTAAAGAGAATATTTAGCACTGAATTAGGCGTTGATGATACAAGTTTAGTGAATATAAAACCGTTAGAAGATTTCGGTGGTCTACACCCTGATCCAAATTTAACTTATGCCAAAGATTTAGTGAATGCCATAAAGGAAGGGCCGTACGATTTCGGTGCCGCTTTTGATGGAGACGGAGATCGAAATATGGTGAGGAAAATCAAAAGATAGCCCAGAAAGATTGATCTCTCTAAGAAATCATATTTAATAAATTATGTTTGTGCATTGCAGATCTTGGGCAAGAAAGCTTTCTTCGTTACTCCTTCCGACTCCTTAGCGGTGTTAGCTGCAAATTTAAAATTAATTCCGTATTTCCAAAAGACTGGTGTTAAAGGATACGCTAGATCAATGCCCACGGCTGCGGCTGTCGATAGAGTCGCCGCTAAAAATGGGATGAAGTTCTTCGAAGTTCCTACTGGATGGAAATACTTCGGTATGTAAAATCTTGATGCGCATGTTAAAAATTATCAGTGTTTTTAATATAACTTTTAGGAAACCTGATGGATGCTGGAGATTTGTCGCTATGTGGAGAAGAAAGTTTCGGTACTGGTTCCGATCATATTCGCGAGAAAGATGGAGTATGGGCGTGTCTAGCGTGGCTCAATGTAATCGCAGGATTAGGAAAATCTGTAGAAAACATTTTACTAGATCATTGGAAAGTTTATGGAAGAAATTTCTTTACTAGGTACATACATACATACATACATACATGCATGCCTCTATTATTTTTCGAATTTAAATATTTCTTGATTTAACATTGTTTATTGATTCCAATTGTTTTTCTATCCTGGATTGCTGTTTATAGGTACGATTATGAAAATTGCGACTCTGCGAGTGCGGATAAAATGATGCAGGGCATCGAAGCTCTAATTCAAAAGCCAGATTTTATCGGCAGAAAGCTGCAGTATGAAGGTAAAGAGTATATTGTTAAGCAGGCGGATAATTACTCCTATACGGATCCTGTCGATGGTAGCAAAGCTACGAAACAGGTATGTTCTGTAATTATATATTCATTATTATCTACCATTAATCTTATTAAGTTCGTATCTTCAAGTTATACAATGTTTTGCATATTAGGGTTTACGGATATTGTTTGCGGATGGCTCCCGTATAATATTCCGCTTATCCGGAACGGGAAGTTCTGGTGCCACTATCCGTATGTATATCGATAGTTATGAGAATAATCCGATTACTTTTGAAAAAGACGCACAGCTGGTCTTAAAACCTTTAATAAACATCGCATTAGAATTAAGCGAGCTTCATCAGCATACCGGTTGTAACGCGCCTACTGTGATTACATAAACGTGCGCTCGTTATATTGCTGCGCTCTTCCATTATGGAAATCTTTAAATCTCATTCAATTTTATCTCATTTATATAAAAAGAAGTTTTACAAAGTAAATGTCTGGTTAGGATATAAATTCATTTGGATTGTAAAGGTTCGTCCAATTTCATTATCAAAATCATGAAGCAATAGCACAATAATTGTTACTGGCCCCACTGAAGGGATTTTCCATTTTTATAAAGCGTTACTGTTTTACGAATCCATCCATATGATATACATACCGTGCGTATTGGACGAGAACTATTCAATATGCATATCCGAGTAGCGAGTTAAAAAAAATGTTTTAGAATCTATATATTAGATATTTGCCGTAAATGTTATTGCTTGAATCCTTACATTTCGAGTCAATCGTGAGAGGATGCGATTTAAACTTATTTTTAAGTCTTCTCACAATCTTTGAGTGTGAGAAAAATATTGGTATTGTCCCTCAGCATTAAGAGGTACTTGTAATCATTTCTAATTATTAGAAATTTCATTAATAATTTATATATGTATTGCTATTCATATATTTACATGAGTTTTAATAAGCATTAAAACTGTGCTTATATTATGAAATATGGATATATACATCTGGCGCATGTAGACATTCTATGTGCACTGGAAAGCTTCTTCGGAAAAGATGTTTCGTGGCATAATATTATGTTACACAATGATATTGTTGATATGCAATAACCTATCTACTTGTTGCCACAACATATATAGTAAGAAGAAATGCAGGTTGCTGTATCCGATATATATAGAGAATTCATAGATAATATTCCGGAAATTGAATATGAGAAACATCCTGTACTTATTTATCACTACAATTACATTGTCTGTACGTTACTCCGGTGATAATACATGCATCTTTTTATCATTAGCTGACACGAAGATCGGTACGTCTCTCTTACGTTGTTATCGTACATTTATCTTTCGCAGGCATTAAATATCACAACGATATGTAATGAATGTCACCACGTGCATTTCGGTATGTAAAAATATAATTTGTAAAAATCACGATTTTGAATGAACAAAATGGATACATTGTCAATCTTCCAAAGCTTATGTCTATCCGCGATTCACGTCTGATGTTTATTCTAAAATTTCCATTCATTTTCATCCATGAGTTTTACAGACTTTTACAGTGAAAGTACTATCTAACGTTTGATTTGATGCTTTGGAAAAATTGATTTGCGTGATACAATTAAATTCTTTTTAATACGATTAGATAAGTGATGGATTTATGTGTGGTTACTAATTTTGATAATTTTATTAATTACGACATATCAAGAGCGTGAAATTCAATATCAGATAGCATAATATTGGAGGATTAACAAAAGCGCGTAAATTCAATATTATCTTCAAGGACCAGTCTTTCCAACGTTTATTAAATTGATCTTGTCATTCTGTCTACGATCTAGCCAATACTACGATCCAGGCAGAGACAGAAGAGATTTATTTGTCCGTCAAGTAAATTGCCAAATATCTTATTTGAGAATATGGAATGACTGGCCCTGCGAATTGAACGTAGCGTAATGGATAATAATAAGCGGCTTTAATTTATTATGCTTTATGAGATGAAACATTCTATTGATAAACTAAGTCATCTTAAAAGAAAGGACACTGCGATCCGTAATGGGTATGATCGATGCTACTTTCAAATTCTAACGAATATGTACAGAATCCTTTTTTCAGTGTCAGATTATTGTACGAAGATTATATTTGAGTCTAACTTGTAGATTTATTTGTATCGATAAATTTATACTTAAATTGGAGTAAGGAAGGTGTAAATCTTTTTGCACTTCATCTTGTACAGTAGCATACGTAAAACTGCCTATGTAAAATTTATACTATTTATTGCAACACGAGCATAATACGAAGAGAATATTAAAATTAAAAAAAAAAACAGTTTAAAGTTTTGTAGATAGTAGTGTACAACTGTAAGAATCTTTCTTTTCCATCGAAGCAGTCATCCATTTGTCTTTCTGAAACTTTCGTATGCTCATCAATATCACACAAGCTGGCCATTTCATTGTGAATTCGCAATTTTTGTCACTGCTACGGACTACTGCATTTAAATGCAAAAGCAAAATTCTTGTCGCATCATTCTCTCGCATCATTCCCCGATTATGCAATCTTCCTTACAAAAAGGTACACTTTGTTACTTTGCCTTCTCTAAACATCTCAGTTCTAATATTCAGATAGCGAAAGAAGCATGGATGCTTAAATTGGTGAACTGAACCAAAACCTGAGAAATAGCCAGCAGGATCGCGTTCAACAATTTCTCAGAATTTGGGCGACCCCAGATATAGCGACGTAGGTTTGCAAATTCGAGTTTAGCGCGATACTCAGCGTCTTATAGAGTCTTTAAGTAAGTAATACTTTTTTGTGAAATGACACAGTCATTACATATGAAATCCGTGTATCCGCATTTTATTGTGCGATATATTTATTTCGGTGACAACATAATTCACTGAGTATCCCGTTAAGATTAATCGATAGAATAGAATACGTTAACGAACTTGTATAAAGAACAGTAGGATGATCAGAAAAGGAAGTACGAATTTCTTTCGAGGAGGGAATACAATCGCAAACTATAGCCACTTGATGCGAAATTTTATATTGTAACAGTATATCTCCACGTAAGAAGAAATGAACAATAGATAGTAATACAAAACATGTTCGATAGGTACGAGAGGCACGTTATTTGTATTTCGCGAGTGTTAGTGGATGTCTCGTATCGATAATTAATAACAGCCGCCCAAATGTATTATATTACTCGTTTCCCCCTTTCGTTTTTCTCTTCGCTTCGTCTTTGCTTCTTTCTTTTGTACGATATTTCACTACGGGCCTTTGTATCCGAGATATCACGTAAGCGCGTTCTACGTTACATTACCACTGTGTTAAAAAAAAAAAAAAAAAGAACGCGCGATCACGACTCATGTTTCATTTCGAATGACTCGAATATAAAATTTCACGAGGCCGGGTGTGTGGCGAGGCGCCGCGGAGATAGATAAGAATCCGGATCAATCAAAAACAATGTAAACGTTCCGTTTTTTTCTTTTCCTTCCGTGAGTAAATAAATGCAACGTGTTACGGAGAGATTTCGCAAGGCAATTATGTAAATAGTTGATGGTGAAAGAGGAGAAGGAGAAGGAGGAGGAGATACTTAGGGACCTGAGCCGACACATGCCCCCGTTTGATCTGTCAATTATATTCTAGAGAAGTGCGAGGGAGGAAAGAGAAAGAGAGAGAAAAGAAAAAGAGAAGATCTGAGTACTCTCTAGAACGTAATAAAGATTATTTAACGCGGCGGCGATGTCACAGAGACCAGCACAGAGACTGCCGATTACTATAAAGATATTAACATGTAACATTTGTATCATAATCATAATAAATACTAATTATCATTATAAGTATATGAATGAGTGGCTGCTCGAAATGCACGTGGTATGATTCATTATGCTGCTGTATTCGTTTTTTTTTTTTTATATATTTCTACATGCTGCGTTTTCTAATGATAATTCTGCCATTTGTAATATGTTATAAATTCCGAGATTTGCGTTTAATTTAATCAATCAATTGAATCTTACTAGTGTCAGTGAATTGTATAAAGATGTATATTACTGTACTCTTGTTCTTTTGCTGTTTAGCGTACATGCGATTATTCTGATTCTCTAGTACATATCTTGGATACGATTTTCGTAAAATGAACACCGAAATAAAAAGATTAAATAATAAAATTGAATATATCAATAGATTTGATTAGTTTAGCTTTGTTTAAATAACAGAATATAATAATATAATGATATTACTCGATAAATAGGATCTAATAATAATAATTTCTTTTTTAAATTTATATATATAAAATTAATTGCTTATATTGCTTATATTATATTTATATATATAAAATTAATTGCTTATACAAACTATATATCGTTATTTTTTAACTGACTTGCAACGTAGCGATTCAAAGTCGTAAATAAATTTTCCTTTTTAATAAATCGATAATCAAATATGTCGATTATCTTCCCTATGAGAAATTCTTATTGCGAAAATATAAGCAATCTTGAATATATGTATAAATTCAAAAAATAAATTATCCTAAAATCTTATTAGTCGAATAATATCACTTACATTTTATTGTTTGATATATTCTCAGCTTCTTACATTGATCAGCTTTTATATTTTAGTTATTGTATAAAATTGGAAAATACTGGTATTTTCTTAATATCATTTATACTAATATACAAATATTTCTATATCATTTTCTGAATAAATCAGAAAGATGCGTCGCATTTATGCTAAACCAAAGTAGCAGGATCTTCCTTGGTTATTGCAATTATCATGTTCAAGCGACTCGTACAATCTAAAGTGATGACGACTAATTCGACTTTTAATAAATTTTATCTCATTACAACGAATTTATGCGTATTTTTTTTTATTCCACAAAGATCCCCTGTTGGAGTGAAACATATATATGTTTATATCCTTTGCAAATATCTTGATATTATGAGAAGAAAATGAATTTTATATACATATATGCATATAACAATGTCAAGAAGGAAGATTTTCTTATGAATAAACAATGCTATATAATCTTATATTAAAATCAATTCTCAACAAAAGGTAGACAATTTTGTATATTTACAAATAAAAAATGAAATAAGTCACAACGTGTATACTAATAATTACAACGTTTCTGTTAGATTTGTACATGGATTTTACAAATACATTGTTACATAATGCATTTCTTTATAAATTAGCATACCTTCAAAGAACATTCATATAAATCATATTAAAGATTCACAGTAGCTTCACACCATATCAAAATCATCCCTCTGTAAGACAAATATATATTACATAATATTATATATTCTTTATTTAATTGCAAATATATAATATAAAAGGAATTCTCACCTCATTATTATATTCTAGTACGTGTCTCTTGATAGCAGAAGTGTCCACCCATGTTACAAAATCTTCCAAATTTCTATCAATTTTAAACATATAATTAAAGCTGTTTTATTTGTTTTTCTAACATCTATACAATATAGGTAAAAAATAGGATGTTACCTCGTTACCAGAAATGCGGGATCTTTTATAACTTCTACCCCAACTCGGACATGACCTTGTTCTATTAATTTCGTTGCCATTGGTATTGTCTGACTCATCTTGTTGCGTACCATAACAACTGGAAGTCTTCGTCTGCAGAAACAACTGGCAGTTACTTTCTGGGTTTGAGACAAATCCCATTTTGTAGAGATCAGGCCCATCATGTATAACTTCTCCAGCAACATAGCGCTTTGCTCAATGCGAAAAGGATGATCAGGCTCGACTTCCTTAATCTTCTTACCCAATTCCCGTATCTCACGTGACAGTTTGTTATATCTTCAATCATTTATAAATGTTATTACATCCAAAGTAAAAAAAATTGATTAAGAGCATAATGTTGAGTCAAAAATTGCTTCACTTACACTGTATAATCCGATCTTCTCTGAATGCAATAACGCTTTAAAATCTTAACCTCATGAAGGTTGTTGTCTGCTTGCCATGATAAGAAATCTACTTTCTTCAGCAACTTCTGCTCATGATACTTCAATTTTCGCACCATCGTGACTGATCGTCGCCAAAATCTCGCGGATCGATTTTATCTTGATCTATCTTTACTTGAAAGAAAGATTGTGAAGCATCGCTTCGTCACATCCCTCTCAATCTTTCTAAACACTGCTAAACACGTGCAGCGCAGTGCGGTCGGGGATCAAGGAAAATCCTGCGCATGCGTAACCTTAAGCCAATATCACAATTGCTGTCGACTGCTGTGCACTCAGTCAGCTCGCGCAGTCTTCTGCACTTTCCTGCTGGTTTATAACGGTGGCGATCTGCCAGCGTGCAACGATGTAGTCTCCTACGCGTGTCTGTCACGATCAGAGGCTCGCTGCCAGGATGTCGTCCACTTGTCACGCGATTATTTGAGGAGGCCTTCCGAAGAAGAGCCGACGAAGAACCTTCGAGCATCCGGCATGGCTCACCTAAGCAGCGTGTTGAAGGCGGTGGAAACGCTAAACGCGCTACGGGAGTCGGACACTCCGTTGGATCCTGGGGCAAGGTACGAATGGTGCTCGAGAGACACTCGTTTTCATTTCTCAGATTCAAACATAAATTTTCATATCTCGAACAGCAGGAAGGAAAAGGTGTCATGCTGCGCGATCATCGTCGAGGGAGTATGTTCGCCAATCATCAGGCAAAACACCAAGTTTCCGCAGATTCTCACCGCCACCATCGAAACGCTGCTGGCACTCTGCAACGACGAAGAGTCGGACGTCAGGATGGTCGCGGACGAATCTCTCAACAAAATTATAAGAGTACGATTGCATATATTTCTATTCTTGTAACTCTTGAAAGTTGCAATGACGAGTCTTAAAAAAGGAAGCGTTAGAGCAACACAAACTTGAAAATACATAATTATTTTGATATATATTACTGGTATATGTGATGGCATATAATTGATTTTTTTTAAATTTAGGCAATGGTTGATAGTAACATCGTTAAAGTTCAGATAGAGCTTTACAATGAGATAAAGAGAAATGGGCCTGCACGGATACTGAGAGCTGCACTCTGGAGATTTGGTCTGCTGAGTCATATGATACGTCCTTCGAGGGGCAAAGCTTATGTGTCAAATTTGATTCCATGTATAGTAATCATCGCGCATCGATCTGAGGATACTGTAATTGAAACATTATCGTCATCGTTACCATTAATTTTCAAAATGTTAGGACCATTTATGACAGATAAGGATGTTAAGGTAAGAATCTTGTTAGTACTGTGATTATGCAGAAGCTATTTCTAAATGAAAAAATTAAATTTTCTTCTAGAATTTGCTGAAAGCATTCTTTGAAAATATCTCTTCCCCTCAAGCAGTTTTTCGTAGAGCAGCAGCTAATATGATTCTGACAACATGTACAAATTGCAAAAAGCCACAGTTCTTTTTAAATTATGTGTTGGATTATTTATTAGGTATGATATATAATTACAGCACATTATGTGATGCTAATTTATTTATTAATGCTATTTATTTTGTCAGATATAATTACGTCAGGAAGAAACGCCGAGGATCATTCCTCTACTGTTATAGGCGTGTTTGGATGTCTGAGAGTGATTTTACCTCACATATGTAAACCTTCAGAATCTCAAGATGAAGCGCAACAGATAGATAATCTGTTACACATCTATGAATTATGTTTGCACTATACGAAATGGCATTCTGATCATAATGTCGTAAATGCAGCTTTAGAGACGTTGGTGCAACTTTTAAAAATGCCTCCAAAGCCACTGGTGGCCATTCTGTTATCTTCCGAGGGTATAACGCAAAGCAGGATAATATTAAATCAAAACACATACATTCCCTCGTTGGGTCACATGAGCATTTCCAGCGCAAGTACCGCTTACGGCGGAAATTCGGATTCCATTTTGAATTTACACGAGCCTGATGTTCCGGAGATTACTCCGAGCGCAGAGTGGATCGCGGATACAAAAACGGCATTGCCAGGCACATATAATTCACAAACGCAGGACGAATACACGAGCGATGTAACGGAAACGAAGGAAAAGACTTTAGAAAGTTATTGTAGTTTGAAAATCGAAACTGCCGATAGTAAGAAAGCATGTATACTAGTAACTCGCGTAACGATTTTACAGATAATAACTTTCAATATCTTTTAGATGAGGTCGTGGAAGAAGGCAGTGATGTCGGAAGCGAGATCGAAAAGTCTGAAAAAGTACCGTATCCAAGTCTGCAAAGTGAACAGTCGAAGGAAGAAGATTATTCTGAAGATACCACTCTCTCGTTCGCTACTCCTAAGAAATCCTCTCTGGAGTTCGCGTTATACGAGGCGGATGTCGGAAGTTTCACGGATTCGGATATGCCCGTCAAATTTTGCTGCCGTTACTTGGTGTCGTCCTTTTTGTTAGCGGGCAAGCCCGGACACTTAATATCGGACAAGTTATTTCGTGTTAGCGTAAAGTCTCTTGCGTTGACATGTGTGGGTTATATTTTGAAACTTTATCCGCACTTGTTTACAATGACCGTGGCCAAAGAATCCAGTTGCGATGAGACGAACCAATTGATTGCAGACATTTTGCTATTTGCCAATCATCCAGATCCCCAGATCAGGGGTAATATAACGATGGTGATTGGAATCTTTCTAAAATCGGTATTTGTTCAATACGGTAGTTCCTTTCAGAATTTCCAAACGGAGTGTTTGACTCAGCGAGGGCATGGAAATGTATTATTGGAAGACATGATAAAGTTACTCTTGAATGTGAGTCTATATTTTATAAAGGACGACACCAGTTTCGAGTTTTTAACTTACATCTGTTTCTGTCGAATGTAGGGCTTGAACGACGATTCCGCGACAACTTGCCGTCAAACGTTGGACGCGTTAAATCTTTGCTTACCAGAGTTACTAGAGTCCATCAACAATGAACACGGTTTTACCATCTTGACCGCATTGCCAAAACTTGTAAAAAATCCATATTTTCTCGTGAAAATGAAATTAGCTGACTTATTGAGCAAACTGTCTTACATCACGATAGAATATATAACAGGACAATCGTTATTTCAAGAGCACTTCATCGATGTTATAATAGTGTTATTAGGTGATCAAGATCAGAGAGTGAGACATGCCGCGTCAGATGCGATTGTTAAGTAAGATACATTTTTATCTGTTGCAGTTTTATCATTAATTATTTACTCGAATTACATTATTTCACGTTTTCTGTTTCAGGAGTATTCCGTATTTATATTTCCGACATCCTCAAGAGGATACTATTACAAGGAAGGCTACGCAATACACTCAACAGTTTCTAAACGCGGTAACATTAAGCATTTCGGAATTGTCGTTGTGCCAAGATAAACATAAACCATTTGTGAATACGTCTATCAAGCCCTTTATATTTTTGAATCATTACAATGGAGCGAATTACGATTCCAATTTAGAATACTCGTTGTCGCGTATAGTTAACATCCTGATGGAAATATTGACAGTACATTCTTCAAAATATTTAATATACGGCTGTTGTGAAACTCTATTCAGTTTGAGCGAGGTGTACCCCACTACGGTTTATGTTAGAGGATGGGATTGTATTTTGCCAAAGACGCTGCTGAAAAAATCTAAGAAGAATAACGATCGATCGGATGCCAACGACGTCAATTTTGTGAATGAAATGATTTCCTCTCCGGTGTGTAGCGGTCTCCTGTCGTTGGCACTGCCCCTGTTAACATCATCAACCATTAGCTTGGACTTGTCTACGCATCGACATCTGATTCTCCTCGCCGGCAATTTAGCTTCCGGATTAGCTGTATGCAATTTTAAGAGCGGTAGTGACCCGACGAAACTTTGGAATATATGTAAGGATAGATACATGGAACTGTTATTAATGCACATCACAAGAGTTCTCAATATCTTTGTCCATGTTATTGACGAGATACAGCTGGTACAAGCAAGCACCAAGCCTGTATTGCCATCTTTGTCTACCCAATCGTTGTCACCCAGAAAGAAAATCATATCAGAGCAAAAGTCAAAGGAAAGGGGAGAGAAACTCGGCGGTCTGAAGATCGGGAGGGAGCAAATGGGAACGTTCATTGGCATGCCGCATTACATGAAGATATACGACATTCTGAAGGCGGCGCACTCCAATTATTTGGTTACCTTGGAACATGAAGCCAGCGAGATGTACGTTTCTCTGCTGAACGCAACGCTGGACGTTCTCTCGCAGATCCTCGAAATCGCATCCGTCAACGAAGCAGGTAGAATAGCGGAAGAAGTCTTATGTTACCTAAAAACCACCGTCGTATTGTCACCAACGGCAACGGTTCAATGTGTGCAGCAATTGCTGAAGTGCTTGTTCGGTACGAACGTGTGCGCGCAATGGAGCGAGCTGGACGTACAGAAGAGTATGGATAAGTACGGCCCGCTGCAAGATGACTTTAGGGGTTTTTACAACCAGTGTTTTCAACATCCCGCCAGGCAAATGGCGAACACAATCAAGTGCATCGGGAATAACTGTAGGGGTGAAAACGAGCCGGATACCGGGTAAATACTATCCCGATTTCTTTCGACAGTTTTGTCCTCTGCAGACCGACACATTAATATATCTTCTTCTGTTTTCAGATGGATAGGATTGTTACGTCGGAAAAGCGATCGTAAATTTTCATCGGTCTTTAAGACTTTGGCGCGATCTTCGGACCAGAAGACGTCCGTGGCGTCTTTTATCCGGCTTTTCGAACCCATGGTTATAAAGTCTCTGAAGCAGTACACTGTCACGAGTAATATCGCTCTACAGTGCCAGGTCTTGATGTTATTGAGTCAACTGGTTCAACTGAAAGTTAACTACTGCCTGCTGGACTCCGATAAAATATTTATCGGATTTGTGTTGAAGCAATTTGAGTTTATCGAAGAGGGCCATGTACAACATACCGAAGATCTTTTGCCGAAAATGTTCAATTTCTTAGTGCACCTGTCGTATGAGAAAAATCATTCTAAGGCGATAATAGGCATACCAAAAATAATTCAGTTATGCGACGGTCTTATGGCGAGCGGACAACCGGCAATTTCGCATTGCATTCCCGCGCTCGCGCCCATTATCGAAGATATATTTCTCATCCGTAATGGAAGCTCGAGTATAGTCGAGCAACGGGAATTGGAAACAACAAGAGATGTATTAATAGCCATGCTGTTACGTTTGGTGGAATATCATGAGGTGGTCGAGCTTTTAGCGCTGTGTCTGGCCGAGTCTCGATTCAGCGGAGACGGTAACGGCGAGGAGAAATGGCGAAGGTGGTCCAGACTGACCATGGATACCGTGCTTCCGATTCTCGCTGCTGGGAAGCTCAGGATAGAATCTGAGAGGGCCCACGTCGCTTTGGTGAAATTGTTCGCGGCGATCTCACCCACGGTCTTCCGGCCGGTAGATCCTCTCCTGAAAATACTGTTCACCGCATCAATACCTACAACCGCCCCGATTATGAAACGCTGGCTGGGCATGATCAACGTTGTGCTGCTCTCGTTGATCTCCTGCGCGAAAGAAGAAGCGATGTTAGCGCGTCTCTCGGATCTCACTGCGTGCATGTCGGATGTGTCGCATCTGTTCTCGCCATTACGAAGCTCTTCCAATTGCGAGTGCGCGGATCCGTTGAACGCCTCGAGCGTCCAATTGCGCCAGATGCCGCCCGAACAAGTGTTAGCCAGATTCATATTCAAAGTGATCAACTTGATAAGCACAAAGGTGTTCAGTCTACTTGGTTTGATAAATCACAAGTCAGCGGATCCTTTCGTCGATTTTTCTAATTACACGGCGGACGACAATTATCTCGTTCATCAGTTCGCATTCTTCCTGCAATTGTGCATTCACATGTTCGAATCTGGTAGTCATTGCAAGGTTGCGAATGCAACGATGCAGATGATTCAAGGACGTAACGTGTTCGATGAGGAGAAGCAGCTCATCGAGGACTTGAACTATTTGATGCTCAGCATCGGGAGCGTGTGTCCGACGTTAACATGCCAATGGGCGTACTTAATGATCCTGTTGGGATACAACGAGATGTCTTTCTGGTCAAGAGTGTTGAGCACTGGCAAGTCCAATCATGTACGAACAAACGAGAGGAGAACGCGCGATTGTATTAACAGCAGTACCAACATCCAGATTATTAGGAGAGGTGGGATTATATTATTTTGCGATTATATATGCGAGAATCTTAACGATGTAGAGCCATTAACGTGGCTCTTGGTGAATCACATAGAGGAGGCGATAAACGTCGCTACCGAATCTCCGGTAAGGGATCTATTGACCACGGCGATACATAGGAATCCGGCAGCCAGCGGATTGTTAGTGCAAGCCGTAGCGACGAAGTGTACGGATTTGTCGCAACCTAGTTTCATAAAGCGCCTGCTTCAGTGTATCGAGGGTGCGCATCATTCGCAAAGTGGCGCGGTTATAATGACCCTGATACCGCGACTATTATCCACTAAGTATCTTGCTTTGTCGAGGATGGCGGCAAAAATCGCTAGCCGCCGAGTGGAAATATTATTAACTACCAATGCGGACGATGTGATCGGCCAGTTGTCAAAAGAAGATATCGTGAAGATTATGGATGTCTTGCAGACCACCAAGCTGGCAAGAAAACACGGTGGTTTGGTCAGTTTACTGAACAAGTTAGCTGTGCAATATTACGATCTATCACCGTTGGAACTCGATCAATGCAGACCGTTCAATCCGTCCACCGTTAAGAGTGTTCAATTAGACCGAAATTGGTTCCTGTCTCAAGTGAGATTGCGATGTTGCCATGCCAGCGCCGGCAATAATCCCATGGAATTAGCGCAATTATTAAAAGATCTGGACTTCGACGATTGTTTGAGCATTCTCTCTTGTAAAGAGTTTAATCTGAAGATTTTGAAGCACTGTGTGATATTGGGCGCTCGACTCACCATCGAAAAATGTCAAAAGTTGGAATTTGGAAAAGCGCAGAGCGAGAAGGATTTCTATTTCGATGCTAGCCCTTTATACGTCGCTGCCAAGCAGTGCTTGTTGGAGCACATTCATTATATCTGCGAGCTCCTACCGAAACCACATCAGATTTACAATCCAGAAGCGGATAACCACAGCGGGAAGGAGCTCAAGTACGCCACTAGATTTTCCGAGTTGCTGAGTGATGCTCTGTATTGGGAGATTCTTTTCACGATAATTCCAACTGTCAAGGTTTACATGAAGACATTACCGAAACTGGCAAAGTACAATGTGGCGAAGATCGACATGAAATTTGAGGAGGACATCGCTAGGTTTTCCATGTTGTGTCTCGAGTTAGCGCATTGGATGATCTACTCGGACAGGAAAAGCGTCCATAAATTGAGGCCACACGACATGGACCTTGTGCTAAGTTGCGCGGCCGAGATCCTGCGGCACGCCGCTCCAAGTAAAATCTTCGGTGATAGCGCGCGTCATAGTTGGGTCTGCTCCGCGGCGATCTCTTTGACAAAAATCGTAGAGAGTATATTGACGACGATGGATCCTTTGCCAGCTATTGATTCCCAAGCGTTGGAACCGGCTCTCCAAGATGAGGATACGAAAGACTATGCCCGGGCGTGCATTCAAATGGCATCGATAGTGGCCTGGCTCGAGAAGTGTCAGGCGGATGGCACCACGAGGAATATTCCACCGTATCTGTTCAATACGATAAAGTCGCTGATCGTTAGCGTAAGTCGTCAACCGTTAGTGAACTCTTACATCTTAACGCCTCCGTTGGTGTGGAAACGAGATTGTCATGTCGTTGGCTCGGGCCCTACCAAATGCTACTTTCCGCTGATGTCGTCCGAGTCCAATCTTCTGCAGGAGGTGGAAATTCTGGAACAATTTATCTATCGGGTGAACCTATTGGGTTGGATATCCAGATCGCAGTTTGAAGAGATCTGGATGGCATTCCTGAGCGTTCTCAATTTCCTGCAGAACGAGAACACGCCCTTGGACGAAGTTACGACTTTGATCCAAGCAAGCAGTTTGGCGATTCAGGCGATAACGAGACTACTGCTGCACACTCTGCTGCTTCCATGTCCCGGCAATCCCAGTTCCAGTACTTTAATCCACCATCCGAGAGATCCCCAGCTGTCCGTGCACAAAACGAGCTCTCAGAAATTGTTCGCGATACAGGAGCTGCTCCTGTGGAAGTACGAATATATGAACGATGCGGAAAGTAAGAACGGTTTGAGACTGGATCATATATACCAACGAGGCAACGTAGAAAGGACCGCGGTTTCCGACAAATACATGTACAGCCAATTATCGGTTTCTTATTTATGGTCATTGTGCAATTTATATGAGGATAAGCTAAGCGCTTCCGTTCTTGATTTAAAGAACAGGCGGAATGACGCGCTGATGTCCGCCTCCCTCGATCTAGATTCTTGTCTGCGCTTTCTGATCGAACACTACACTATGTGGACATCGTCGCAGGCCAACACGCCCGTACAATTGCTGACGGAGATCATGAAATCAATTCTGGCAATCTCAGATCTCTTTCTCGAAAGATCGCAATATCAATGGATGTTGGATGTGTGCTTGGAAGTTTCGAGAATTCATCCGACGGAGAACGCGATTTTGCATCAGTACCTGGCTGTCTCTGTGTGTAAAGCTGCTGCCGTTCTGACGCCTTTAGTATGTACAAAAACATTTCATCCATAAAACGAGATAACGAAAATATCTTTTACTTTTAATTAATATTATTTCGTAGGACTTGGATACGTTAGATAAAGTGAAGCGCATAGTGGACGTTAATTTAAAATCGGTATTTCTAGCTTCCAGAGTATCCGCGCTTCACGGCTCTTTATATTTGTTACAAAGCGCGGTATTAACGAAATGCGAGGAAACAATGAATATTATACATCCTCTGGCCATTGAATATATACAAAAACATATTGACTCGCAGGATTCCAATAGGTAATTTCAAATGACATTTAATTCAAATTGATTTTATGAATAAATATTGATAATGACAATGTTTGATGCAATTTTATAGTCATTGTTTTATTTGCCGTTTCGATACAGCGTTCTAAGTCAGAGTGAAGAACATCAGGGAATAATGTGGGCACTGGTATTCTTTCTACTAGAGCACGCAGAAGATACGCCGCCGGACACAGAAGCGCCGGCCGTATTGGAATTAGTCCTTTCTCTAGTCACATCTCAGAATATCTCGTACGGTTTGCATCAAACTCTATTACAGGTATGTTACATGACGATTTTATCTCTCAATAAAGTATCTTAAATCTTAAGTAATGATTAACGATTAATTAATTCTTGATAGGGTCTTGAGAGACTTGTGGCGACGAAGAGCGTTGTCGGCAAGGTAGCCGAGCAGATTGTTAAAGTTGCGATAGATCGATTGAAGCAACCGAGCCCGCTGCTTGCGCTACCAGCGCTGCAACTGCTATTGACATGCATGTATACAGAAGCAGCCGATCGGCTGAATCAGCCCGGCGTCGAAGAACCACTGCCGGATGTCGAACCGGAGACGCTGGTCCGATCCATCGAACGCATCTCTGCGATATTCGACAAGATCCGCAAGGGACATCCCATGGAGGTGGAAGTACTGTGCACGGTTCTATCGTGCCTTCTCGGGGACTTCTTCCCGCCATCGGAGATCCTCACCAAAGTCATAGGGGAATTCTTATCCCCACAGCAACCGCATCCGAGATTGCTCTCCGCCGTTGTTTTTAAAGTTCGTAAAATTGATCGAAGATCTCGAATTATAACGCGACTGAACTATATTAAAAGGAATACGAATATATAATTCGACCTGATTTTGCGCCAGGTCTGTGAGAAAGCATGTACCTGCACGGAAATGGAGCTCCTTCAAGACTGGGTGATCTTCAGTTTACCAAATTTCATTCAGAGCTTGCCGATGGCGATGTCAACTTGGTGCTTATCCTGTTTCTTCATAAGTGCGTCAACAAATCATTGGTTGAGAGCTTTGTATCCTTTTTCCGCTTGCTTAGACTTTTTTTTTTTAAAGTAATACGATTCCCCTTAACCATGATATGACAGATTTCCATATGTTCAGTCGAGAATAGGAAAATATGAATATGAAGATAAAAAAATATTATGTATAGCAGCTTCGGACTTTTATCACAAGGTAAATTATTTACTTCTTAGTTATTTTCAGCATTCGCTTTATTTATGGATTTATTGATTTCAGCTGTCCAAAGAATCTCAAAAAAAGGCGTTTGCCGAAACGTTTGAAGCTGCCGCGAAGGAACCTGGAACTCCATTTAGCGACATTCTAGCCTCCTTTTAAATAATACTGACTGTAATCAAGAGAACTCAAAAGAGAAGCATTCTACAAGATATTAAATTCAGGCTGTAAAATATTGATGTACAATCACTGGTGCGCACACGTGTACATTTGTATATGTATATGATGATATTTATTTTACATTATGTCCTGTCAAAAAAGAGATATGCAACTTGTTTTACAATAAATAATATTTTTTAAGCAAATTGCATTCACGTAAGTATTCCTATTTTTCGTCTAATTATCCTCCGCGGTAATATATTTTGGTCGAATTGTGAACATAGCTTTTCATTTTTTATTATACATAATTTATTCCAGATATATAGTTATTTATTAACAAAATAAAAGAAGAGTTTTCAATATAATTTACAAGTAGATTTTATTGATTGTGTTATTTTGTTAAAATATATCTTGCAAGAAATGTTATTGTATTTTCTCGCTTTTCTGACGTTACAATCTAAAATAATAATAGTGAATGAACAGGCATCTCGATTTCGCATAATTCAAAGCAAATAATACTCTTTGAATCTTGAAACTTTTTCAAATGAAATATCTTTTGAAACGTTTCCTCGCTTTGTAGCGCGTGTGACAAATAACACATTCCGCTTTTCCAAACATTTAATTTAAATGCAGCTTCAGCATTAGAATTTCCACGAACTTTCATTATATCTCGTAACGAGTTTGAATTGAAACACATTCGCATCGATGAGCTACGTTCACCAAACTCGTGTTTTCTTTTTTTTTATACTACAGCACGTACGATATACAATCTTTCATATTATTTAGCTGTATACTTTTTTTATATTTCTTTGCGCCGATGGTTTTAAATTCGCGAAACTTTGCCAGTCGAAAGAACGAAATTCATTGTATTCTCTTTGAGAAACGAAAGTTACATTCTAATGATCATATTTCGAGTTTAAATCGATCTTTCTCCATGGAATTTTGGTGTCATCGAATGCAAGAATTCTTAGTCGAGGTCTGACTATGCCGCTGAACACGGATACGGTAAGTTGACGTTGAAGGGGATTAAATTTTCGACGCCTTTTTTGTGTTAGCTATGACTTATTTCAGGAAACTATGGAGCTGTATAAGAGAATGCCAGCGCACGCATACAGAAATGTTGGGTCATATCGTTACAGTGAGGTCTGCTCTAATTGCGGACAAAACGAGCACGAGGACGTGTTACGTGGTATCGCATTGCACAAAAGGAGAGCAAAGAATTACGAGAAGCACTGCCCCTCGTGCCATTGTCCACCCGAGAGGCGAAGATTCTCTCCGCCCAGCAGACCAAGGTGAAGATATTTCCTTGGCTGATTAATGAATGATAATTAATTACAAATTTAATCTAAACTTCAGACGCGGTAATATATGCGATAAAATATTTGTCATGACGTTAGCCTATTTTTTTATCGTTACTTGAGAAAATTAATTTACTGCGATACTTTAGTTTTGATATTAAAGAAAAAATTTTCTTTGGATTATTAATCTTCGTTGAGAGAAGAAATAATTCATTTAACCGAATTGGGATATTTTCAAGGACTTCGGAAAATGTCGAAGCGATGATAAATCGATGCGAACGCATTTTTACGGAGCCGATCAGCTCGGCTATTAAGAAGTCGCAGAGCAGTCCTTTGTCGCAGAGAATATGCTGGCACGATTATCAAACGGATGTTCATCCTCGTTGCCCCCGAAGATCATTGCAGGCTCATCGTCAACGGAGACTCGAGCATGACAGGTATCTATTCAGAACGAAGGGAAGCATCGCAAACCCACAACTGACCAACGAAGATATCGAGGCTTGTTCCAAATACATGCGAGCGATACCCGTGAAGAGCTCGCTGAAGAAACATGTTTGCAGAGAGCCTGAGGTACTGACAGAAATCATACTTTATGATTCTAGAGAGAAAAAGAGACTTTATTTCACGAAAAGGAATTTTCGATTAACGAGAAGGATTTTTTGACTTTATTCTAATTGCTTTCAAATTTATAATATATCTTTTAGAGATCGCCAGACGAGCAGGAATGTTCCGACGTCGAGAGCGAGGTGTCGATGAAGTACATCCCGCCCGTTTTTCAGTCGAGGAAGTCGCATATGCCAAATTCTAGACCGAGGCGACGCTGCGTCGGCACCGGAGATGGAGAATACATCGTGAGGACGAGAAACGAGAGCGACATCGAGTCTCAGGAAATGAAGGAAGTTGTCCTGGATCTCGAAGACCTGGATATGTTGAAGCGAGGCGACGGCGAGATGACCATAAACGAAGACGATAAGAAACTCGAGAGACAGAAACCTGACGTTGCAAGAATGACGAAACAAAAAAAGTCGTAGACGATGTTTCTCATTGTGTAGAGAGCAAACCATTCGCGCTGATCGATCAATCAATTAGCAAATCCACGAAAGAACTTAATGGATCCACTCATCTAATAAAGCAGGATCTCCATACTACGAAAACTCACATTTTGGAATCGATCGATCGTATGCTTGGCACTATGAACGATGCGAAAGTACATATTTAATGATATACATAATTTATTCGTTAATCTCATATATGCATGCATAATGTATTTTTTTATATCAGATGCAATTAGGATAAAAACTACGAAATATGTAAACTACTGAAAAACTGAAAACGAAATGAACATATGAAAAATATTTTAAATGGAAATTCACAATTTTAAAAGAAAATATAATTAATCCGTACAATTTTTTGATATAAAATATGCTAGAAAAAATATAAATATAATTTTTTATTTGAAATAGCTTTCTCTTTTTCTCTTTTTTAAAGAGGCTTCGGTTTTTTTATATATTTAAGATTCCCTATGCCTTCTTTTTATTTTCTATATATTTTTTTTGATAAATTTTGTAAAAAATTTTGTAAGAACATGGTCAAATATTTCTGCATTGACGTTATATTTTCCGTTCGTAGAACGATGCACCTGTACAGCAGGGACAAACAGAGCAAGAGACTCTCGAGAAGATAACTCGTGAACTTCAAGAGAACAGTTGGCAGTTATTGTTCAACGGCTTGACAATTCATAAGGACACGACAGATATCAATAGGCGGACCGTTCGTCTGGAATGTCTGAATCATATTCGACAGCAACTCGACAAACTCTACGCTCTCGAGTCAGCTCTGGACAATTGGCCGCCTAAGCTGCAATCTCTGTCAAATTGCGATATGCCGCACGAGGAACGCCAAGAGTCACAGCAACAATTAGAACAGAAAACTGCGGATTCCTGAGGTTATCGAAAGTCCGCATTCTTTTTCTCTTTTCTCAAGTCTAAGAGCTGTAAATTTTAGGAAAATAAATAAATTTTAGGAATCCACGATTCCTCAATCGTACAAGCAATGATATGATTATCTTCGTATGCATCGTAAACATTTACAGAACATTGTCAGAATAAAATAATTGCAAATGTGAATGTCGTGCATTAAAAGTAACATACTATGTTAAAGTATACACTATGTTTGTACGCGCATGTATATTAATGTACAACACATGAGATTTTATAAAACATAAATATAATTCGTAAAATCTGGCATTATTTCTTACTCGCGAATTTCAAAATTATTACAGCTAAGATTAGCAATTCGTCTCTCTCAAGATTTAATTGGTAGCAATAGCTTTATTGTTGAAACGTTTTAAGTACATTAGAGTACATTACTACCTCCTTTCCGCTGTCAAGCTAAACAAGGTATGTGTAATATTAAATTCTGTTTCCGTTCGATACATACAGCTCTCCTTGCGATGAAAGGTGGCGCATAAATTCATTATGTATTAATATATATATATATAGATATATATGTACTTTAGGCTCTTTCTTTGCATTTGCTACGCGTGTACTCATAATATACATACATATATATGTATATATAATTGCCAAATGTGTATATATATATAATTTATATATTTAGATCTATAAATATATATATAATACTAATATATATATATATATATAATACTTATATATATATCTTTATATATGTGACATTGGTAGAACAATTATGTACATAACGCTGTAATAAGCTATGACTAGATATTTTTATATATATATTGACGCGTTAGGATACTTCTGGAAACTTGAGTAACGATGGCAAAAGACATAGATCGGAGATTCCGATAAATCATTTTTCTGCACTTTGTACGACAAAACACGCAAATGGCACGACAAGGGAGAAGAAAATTAGGAAATTTGGCTTGACGGCTGAAGAAGAGGTACGAGCGAAACAGCGTGGCTATCGCTTCTCCAGCGGCAGCCGATGTCGTTGTATTCGTTGTATGTCTACTTTCCTCACGTTGTATGCAGTTCTTTTTTTTATGTCTTAGGTATCTATAAAGTGTGTGTCTCGTTATATTACGATACTTTCGGCGACTGCCACCGCCGGCTGCGTCTGCCATTGCATTCTGCGAAGAGGAGAACGGAATTGAAATGCAAAGCGAGGTGTTGAGAATAACAGAAAAAAATTCAATTTTTTTCTCTCTCTTTCTCGCAATTCAACAGGTACAAACGTATTCGACGTACGCGACGAAGACTGGGATAATACTGCAGGTAGAGAAGAGATAGCTGTATAAACTTAAACAAATAATATATATCTATATACATACATACATACATACATACATACATACATACATATATGTGTGTGTATATATATATATATATATATATATCTGTATATACATAATCGATAATATATAATCTAAGTACACAATATCGTGATATAAAATCTACATATTATATCCCCGGTAGATCAACAACATGATTAAGTTTGATCTCCGCTACATAGGACGCTCTGTTATACCTTCGTATTTTGCATATTGTTAATGTTGCCTGCAGCGTTTTGTACAAGTGTTTTAGATTGTGTGTATAATGTGTATGTGTATGTTCGCGAGCGCGTATATGATAGGATATACATCGTCGGCCTCCCCGATGCGATCCTCTGGGAACCGCTGAAGGTAATGGGAACATCATGAAGGACGGGCGATTCATGGAACTACAATTACACGAGAGACATCTAAAAGGTATGTTATTGACTTCGATTACACGCTATTAAGGACACCCTCGAATTGATCGACGTTTGGACGCGTCCCGAGAAATGGGAAATGGGGAGGGGAGGGATGGGGAAAGGGACGCGTCCTCTCTCCCCTACGCTTTTCTAATTACTACTAATAATTGCCACAGGTGAATTGACTCTATTAAACAACACCGGTTCCCCGAGCGATCGTTGACGTTTAGCCGACAAGGGGTGGGGGAGGAGTGCACGGTAGAAAGTTGCTGATGGGAATTAAATGGATAGATCCCTAATAAACTTTATAGATCTTAACGTTCCATTCGTTGATGCTCGAGATGCGGACCCGCGGAGTCCTTGCGCGGTTTTCCTCGTCCAGGGGCGGTGTCCGGACGTCGTTGTTCTCGCTAATCTAAAAAATTTCTCTACGAAACTCGACTGAACTTCTGACGGTCGTAAATTTATCGTCATTCGTGAAGTCCGAGGACACACCACGGTGCGTTCTCCAAACGAATTGGAAGTCCGAAAAGGTTTGCGACGTTCCCTAAACGCGCCCCTGACGATCCATCCTTCGCTTCTCCATCCGCGAACAAGGTTCGTCCACGAGGTTCGATGTACCTCCTCGAATTATGCGATCGACACCGCGGTACGGATCGCCCGCGAAATCGACGGCGAGACTGGTCCGCTTTAATTAAGTTTTCTAAGGCGCCTTTTACTGTCGTCCGGCGCTTCCTAAATCCTGGAAGCCGTGCGTCGATGCGCCCGACACCGAGGCGATCGCGTCTGGCCACGCTCTCGGTCTCGTCTCGGTCGCAGACTGAACAAAGCAGCCTCTACCGAAGTGCATCGTCTACCCTATCGTCGGTACCGAACGCATCGCGACGCAAATATATGTATATAATAATATTCATATGCGTAAATTCTCATCGCTCTAAGGCGCTAACAATAACGGACAAATGAACAAACACGTTGAACGGTCAATAGTCATTACGATCTAAGTCTCTTCGCGTTATATTATATATAATATATGTACGCTAAATTTATATAGAATCACACTAAAGCGTCTGCGCGATCCTTGTGATTTCTTCTTAGATCGCGTTAAACCCGCGATCGTCCGATTAAGGAAACAGCCAGATTAAAGATGCAGCCCAACAAGCTATACAGCGACAGAATACTCGCAGGATTCTTAAATATGTAAAAGAAAATTTTTTATAAAAACCCTGACTACTACACTTTTCTTATCAACTCAAATTATTTGCTTTATCAATTAAATTCGTGTTTTATCTAATTATCTCCTAATATCTTCATTTTTTAATATCTCCATCGTATATTTGATTGCTATATGTTATTAAAGTTTTAATTTGTATGTTACTATAATTGCTTCATTTTTTCGGTTTTCGAACAAAATGATTTAAAAGTATCAAGTACGGATGATTGATTCTTCTTCTTAATTTCGATGCCCCGCGATTCCTTGCGACTCCTGCGGGAATTCCATCGCGCGATTCCGTGGCTCGTCATCGATATCGATTCCGGCGCGCTCGAAAGATCAAAGGATCCCGGAAGCGGAGGTATACCGAGCCGATTATACCGTGGGTGGAGATCCCTCTTGTTCATCCATCGATTTACAAGTGACCCTCTCGCGAATCGGTCTCAAGGAACGCGCAGTATAATAGTACTGTAGATACTTTCATCGGATAAGGCTGCGTTAATTATTGTCACTTTCAGCGCTCGTTCGCCCTCGTGGAGAATCAATTTTCCCTCTCCCTCCTCTTTTCTTCCGCCATCTCATTTGGTCACGAATGAAATTTCGCTTGCTCCATCGTTCTCGTAAATTTTCCGCGCGTTCTCGCTTCGGAGAATTCGAGTTTAATCTCGGTCACTCGGGAATAATTCGTTCAGCTTACTCTTCGTACGGCTCTTCGAGGTTTCGATTTTCTTTCTCGTGTTTTCCCTTTTTGCTCTTTTTTCTTTTTCGAAAAAATGATTTTACGTTTACACTCACGCTAACGAGGATTTCCTTTGATCTCGCGAAGTTTCGTTTTCGGTCATAAATGGCGGCAAGAGCATCTCAACAAAACCAGGATTAAACTATAATCGCCTGTACGAATTCTGTCTCGTGTCTTGAGAAGTGCGCGAAAATACTTTCTCTTTTCTCGACCATTAGCACGTCTTACGTCGCGCTTCGTATCGCGATAGAAAATTTAAAAAATATTAAATATTAAAAAATATAAAAAATATTTAAAAAATATACAAATAGATGTGTCGTATTTCGAAATCGTGTAATCACGTTAATGTAAGGATCGCGCTTAACGTTACGATGACAATCCCAGAGAGAACTCCCTTGCCCGCTCTCTTGTCGAATATTTCATGTTCTTAACACAGTTCCATAGTCGTAATATAGATTACCAATGATTCGCACAGCACCGTTAACAGTCTTAACATTTAGCCGCAGATATATAACGCTCCTAAAGTCTACTCTAACAAGCCGTACCTCTACTTTTTACCTTCTAACGTTATATAGGATATAAAACGATTAATTGTCAAGACGCATTCCTTCCATGGTACTCAGGCATTTGCGCGATATGGCTGATTATAAAACGTATCACATATTATCTTCTTTTCTATATCAATTCGAACAAATCTCGCGCGAAGTCTGTGGCTAAGAGTTAAGATTCGAAAACTTTGAAACTTTGCAACAAACGATTTGATGCCGATCTCTGATTTTAGCGCGAATAATTGCCGATACCGACAATAAACTCGAATAATAATTACACTTTAATACTGGCAATAATATTGTCCGTTCGAAAACTTGTATCTAGTTGCTCGGGAAAAATTCATAAACTTCCTGTACTTTCACTCGATTGTAAGAAATCGATCAAGACTTGTTAGTCGAACGGAAGCAAGCAAAATACTCTTTCGTCACTTTCGATAGCACCAATAGGATACAATGCCTGTGTACTCACGCACGAGCACGTATTGTCTAGATTATCTACAACAGCCTAGAAAGAAAGAAAGCTCAACACAAGCCCTTCATTGTTATCTAAAACCTCAGTGTTGCTTCAATTCCACAACAAGCTAAAAATCGTGCTTTTCCTCCAACATGCAGCTAGCTTCTAAGCTCTTCTGTCGCTGTCTTCGAATAGGAAGAAGAAGAAGGGGAAAGAGACGTTCGAACGAGGTCACTGAGCGTTTACGATGATCTACGACCGTGCGCGCATCATCGTTCGCGAGCCAATCGGCCGGGACGACGACTCTTGCTCCGGACGATCGTTTCGCGTTTGAGCAAAGCAAAGGTCGGAAACGAACGAGGCGTTTTTGCATTAGAACTCGCTGGGGCATACTGGCGGATTCATCTTGCCAAAGACGTTGAGTTCATAGAGCGACGCGAACACGATGAATATCAAGTACCAGACCATCAGAACCATACCGTATCGTCGATCTAGCTTCCAGCCGTTGAAGTGTGTCGCCAGAACCAGAAATAACACTGTTGATAGCAAAGAAACGGTGGAATACGTCAAACCTGATAAGAATGAGATATATAAAGTAATATGAAAAAATAAGTTATGTACATTTTATAGAGATTAAAAAGTGGACAGATATATCTACCTCTGCTGGTGACATTTACATGCGAGCCGGGCTGTATCATAGCAGTCTGTATGAACCACGGAAGACCGAGGCATACCAGAATATCGAAGACATTGCTGCCTACAGCGTTACTAACCGCCATGTCACCGAGACCCTCTTTGATGACTGCCAGCGAGGAAAGAGCATCCGGCACGCTCACACCAGCGGCGACGAAAGTCAACCCCATCACGGTGTCGGGAATGCCCAGAGTATTACCTAAAAAAGTCGCCCAACTAAAATGGCTCTATTCGCTCATGATTGAGCGCAGTTCGAATGATAGTTTTACCTATGATCGTAATCATCCACACCATTATGTAGCTGTAGAAACTGATCCATATCATCGATATGCAGAACGTGAAGGGGTACCAGCTTCGCCACTTTTCTTGCCGGCAATCCGGCATCGTCGCCCGACACAAAAAGTGAATGGGGTACACGAGGCCCCAGGTGAATAAAGTCCATTTGCTACCGTCTGTCGGCATCACGAGGGGCGACACCTCGTTGGGATCGGGCTCTTTCGCTTTGTAATATTCAGGTTGTCTCGATGCCACTGGCTGTTGCTGTTGCTGCTGCTGCTGCTGTTGCTGTTGCTCAGTTGTTTCTTGAATCCCGTTTCCTGATGAAAGACAAACAATCAGATCTCTACATGGAAGATACGAATATATCAGATCATCCGATTACCTTCTTGATTTTTCATCTGCTCGGTAATTGGCGAATTAGGACCGGTGTAGGATAATCGATCCTCCTGTAAGGATCTGTAGCTTACCAGGGCACTCTCCTCAGCAGGTTCGTCATCTTTTGGCAGGAACGGAATGTTGTACGATTTCGCCCAACGTTCCAGTTTAACGTTGAACGAGAGCGCCACACAATAGACCGCGTACATAATTAACATGAAAAGAGATTCCATCCTGAAATTATCATTCTATATTTTAAGTCTGCCCGCATCGATTTCCAATTTAATTGTAGCGATGCTCACCAGGATATGGACTCGTTGTAAATGGTACCGAGCATTACGAGGATCGAGATGGCGTAGAAAAAACAATCTCGACAGAGAGGCCACCAGTTCAACTTGGAGGCCGTCGCGGAGCATAACCCGCAGATCGATATAACGAACATTATATTGAAAACAGCGCTGCCGATAACGCCGCTGACCTGAAATGTATACAAAAAGAATTATATAGCGTTTGATTTGCCATCGAACGTGAGCTTAGATCCACGCAACGCGATAACGGCTACTCCCTCGTGATTAAAAAGAAACGAATAATTTGCTCGCGCGCGATAACGACGATTTTTCGCGATGTTTAACGCATGCAGTGAAGCGTGCGAGATGTGTAATTAAGCAACCGCGATTGTAATCGTGATACTCACTCCGATATCGTCCTTGGCGAAGAACACGCCGATGATGACTGTGGCCAGTTCGGGCGCGGAAGAACCGGCTGCCATGAAGGTGGCACCGGCGACATCGGGCGATAATCTTAATTCTGAAAACGACAAAGAATAATATAAAATAAAATCATGAGGATTATCCCTTCCGCTTCGAAGTAGACGCGTCGGATATGTCAGGACGTGACATATCATGAAAATCCGAGCTTCCACTTTTATTGAAAAAAGTAAGTCGAGATATTGTCCCTTAATAACAAATATCACGGCGGAACCCGTGAAATATAATCTTCTTGTGTAAAACCATCCACGCGTAACACTGTAATCTGACACGGGTTGCGAGATTATCGATTTCACGGGGTTTGCTAGGGGACGATTTTCATGGCGAGCTCTGTCTCACCTTCGCAGATTCTATCCAGGCTCGAGACGAAGTAATCATCGCAGACGATCGCGAGGCCTAGGAACGTGTAGATAGCAACGAGGATGTGAAGTATGAGCCCGCCGTGTTTCCTAGTTTGGGGGCCCATAAACGGCCGTGGAAATTGCTCTATAGCGGGCGCCGAACAATTGGTTCTTCGCGGTCTCACGGTGGGGTATGGGTATCTCGTTGTAGTCATTTGAGTGGTCGAACTGACCTATTAAAGCGAAAGAAAAAAAAAGGGATATTCATTATTAATATTGATCGTTTGCTTGTAATTCTAAATGATCGAACTTTATTTTTTATAGATCATATTATTATCAATATTTTTTGTAGAACTATATTGCTGACATGACGACTGATAATAAAGTCATTATGTGTAAATGTCATGATTATAAAATCATTGTAACGTCAACGTGTTAATCTATAGCGATGGTGTTTAAATGCATCACGCCTTGACGCAGGTGTTATGCAACCCCCGTGCTACATGCATCGCGTATCACGTATCTTGATCTTGATCCGAGTGATGGCCTCCAGTTCTTTGTTTTTTTTTTTTTTTTTTTAAGTATGTTACCATCCACCTGAGCCGCGATATACACGGTGTCTCGTTAGAATATGCACGTTAGATTTTATCGAAATAATTGCGAGTCTTTGCTCGATTTTTACGATCAATTTGCCGTTACATTTTGTTAAATTTTATTGTGCTTCCATTGTGCCGTCGTTTCTATCGGTCGTAAGTCTTACAAATCCATAAAGACAAATCCATAAGATTTGTACGCATTTTGCAGATCTATTTATTAGGCAATCGATATGAACAAAGTACTTTATTTTCTATTACTTGATTTTAATGTTGTATTTTCATTTTCGATTGTGGTTGAATTTAAGTTTGGTCTCAGTATTTTTCATCCAGTATTTTTATTCACACTTTATTTTTATCGCGTGTGATTTAATTATATCTACATGAAAAAATAGTTTGCTGAAATATCTAAAAATTTGATACTCAGATACAGTTTTAAAAATAATTTTATTAGAATAAATATTAAAAATAATTATATTGAGCGTTGAAAGCTACAAAATTATAATAATGCTGTAAAAGCTTTTGATATTTTTACAATCAATTTTAATATTTTCCATAATTTTATACAGAATGTTCAAGATTTTAATAGCCAAAACTCTATTTCAAAATATCCACAGTTTTTGACAGTAATCAATCTTGTGTTGTCAAAAAATCAAATTTATTACTCTATAAATTTTTCTTATTAATTTTTTATTTATCTTTTTCTACAATTTTCTTTAATTTAATTTAATTTAATTTTTTTCTATTTTGTTTCATTTCATTAAACGCATTATTAATTATTCGTATCAATTAATTGTGCAAATTTATTACATTTTGAAATGGAGTATTAATTCTGAAAATGCTAAAAAATATCATACTATTTTTGACGATCTCAGATAGTAAACATAGTTTAAATAAACAGTTTTGATTGTTTAACAAAATTATTTTCAGATCTGTATCTGATTAAATTTTAAATTAGCAAAATTGTTTTTCCATTCCATGTAAAGTCAAATTTAGATGTTTTTTATATTATCGATCTGTTATGCGCAGAAAAAAAGATTGCATTTATCACGAATAAGAAATATAAAATTTTTTATCTAAAATTTGATCTAAAATTAACACTTTTATTTAACATCTAACGTTTTGCAAAAAATTTAACTAATAAATATATTATCATAGATACTTGCAGTACTCATTGTGGTGGTGCTGTTTCGATCGTGCCTTTGAGGTGCTTCGATTTCCCCCTTGACTTTGATTTCCTTAGCCTGATTTTGCATATTTCCTGTTTTCTCGGTTGTCGAATGTCCTTTCGTCTCAGTTTTCGATCTCTCCGCGTGGCCCGTTTTCTTTCTCTCCCCGGCAACCGACGAAACCGTCAATGGTTCCTCTACCGTCTGCTTTTCCTCCTCAGCGGCAATCGAAGGTATCATAGATGCCGACGTTATATCCGCCTCGGATTGCGTGGAGCTCGAAGACAGCACCGTCATCGTCACCTCGGACGATGTGGGAGGAACTTTCGTGGAGGAGACATATTGCACGAGGACGTAGATCAGGAAGAGACCCAGTCGCAAAGGCCACCTTCTGCGACGCGCCTGCAGATTACGCGGTCTGCATCTCATTGTCTGCAACTGAAACGAATCAGCACCGTTTAAGATTAACGTCCCTCTCTTCACCTGCTCTCTTTCTTCATTACGCCGCGCGTATCTGGACTACTGTGAATTAGGGCAATCCAAGCACGTCTCAACTATTATCTCTCCTCAAGAGGATCAATCCTACTCTGTCTCTTTCTTCTTTTCTTTTTTTTCTCTCACATGCTCGCCGAGATCTTCGAGGCAATTAGGGGAGAAACGAGTCCTATATCAAAGCGAATAGGGGAGCAATTTAGAGATCGGTATCGGTCGTAAGCTTTTCAAGTCACAAAGTCGGGTTACTCGCGTTACGAGGACCTTCGACACGACGAACGGCCTTCGACAACGCGACGCTCCGTCGCGTGGAACAACAACCCCTCGCGCACGAGAGCGCCGACTTTACGGCCGGCTTTATTCGGCGTTCCCCCCCCCCCTGTGACGGGGAAAAACGACGACGAAGGGGGGCACGAGGAGGGCGGCGGTCTTTACATCGCCTCGGCTCGGCTTATCGACGTCCCCTTTAAATGGCATGTTTTCAAGCCAGATCTGGCGTGGCCGTGTTTAGAAAACTGTATGCCGCATTCATTACGATTATCGATGTCGCGTGTACACCAGCTTATGGGAATCGCGTGGGCGTCACACACGAGGATGTACGTGGAGAACGTATAGAAAGGCGCCGCGTCTGAACGTGTGAGGGGGCGCGCGAGCGCGCGCGCATCTTACATAGAGCTTCTAACAACAAAAACCACCACCGTCCGTGTGTGCATCTACTGTCATCAAATATAATGCGACTGGGTAAATCGATGATACTCGTCTCTCTCGCATGCGTAAACTGTATCCCTATAAGAAGAAAAGCACCTACGCTCTACGGAGGCGGAGGCTATGAAACCTTCCTTTCGATCACGCATATAAACGATATAAATCCCTCTCGTTATAATCGTCCGTATCGACGTGCATCGTTATTAAAAAAAAAAAAAAAAAAAAAGAAGAGAGAAAAAATTGCACCCCGTGCGAAATTACATTGCGTTACATGTCTCGTATGTTTACCGCGTTGCGGTACTTCGGGATTTATGATATTCGCGATGTAATTAATAAACGCAGGGGTGCGACGCGTAAATATACGGATAAATTACGGATGATATTTGCACGTGAAATAAGATGGACGGTGTTTTTCGTGGACGTAATTAAAGCCGGACCGAAGCCGACGATGAACCCGAGAGCCCTCGGGATTATTCCCATCTCGCGCGCCGCGCACGAAGATAATTTGCCGCATTACGCAATCGTAACGGACATGACTCATTAGGGATCAAAGTCGTCCGGCGTCGAGTGTGCGAGCTGAGGGATGGAAAGCCGGATGTGATAGGAGTCGGAAGTGTAATCCCGTAAATGCTGCATACGCAGAGTATTCAGAAGGTAAAAGTGACAAGCGCACTCGAGCGCCGTAATGGTATCGGATTGTCTAATTGCCGTCGGCGAAATTAATGGACGCCCACATATACGGGGTGTCCCGCCCACGTCACATCGAAAGGACGAAATTCTTTTCCGGGAGGATTAAAAGAGGATCGTCGGCGAGTGGTCGGCGCCACGTTGGACGCTGACGCAATTCGCGATCGAATCTCAAATTAAACGAAACTCCATCACACGGTGAAACTTTTGTTTGGCCTTCTGATCGTTTCACTCGTGTTCAGGACCTCGCGTTCTCGAAAGTTCTCGATCCCCCCCTCCACCCCCCCCCTCCCCCGCGTTCGGCTGCCTCCCGACACACCCCGTATACACAGGGCGATGGGATAACGAACAATTATCGCAATACGACCCGCACAATCGAACGCGCTTGCTGTGAATATAACTTTCGAAATTAGATTAACGCGATTAAAGCGGCATTCATCAGCTTTGCTCGAGTGTGAAAGAATAAGCCGTTAAATAAATCCTTTCTCCCCTCTGATGGACGTCACTGTTTATGCGATTAATATTTGCGCAGATTAAACAGTCTCGCGAAATTTATGCGGGGAAAATAAATGCACATGGGGATTATTGTATCACGCTCTGTAAATAATTATAATATAGTGTTTGCATTTCGTACCCCATTAGTCAATAGTAATAACGAATTAGTAGATAGAAAAAATCTGTGACGATCCCCGTTATTAATTACGTCAGACAGACGAACAGTTACATTTAATTTTTATTCGGAGAATCATTTTTTTTTTATATCGGAACAAACTTTTGCGATAAAAAGCCTCTCTATTGAAATAAAAATCTGCGCGGAAACTGATATATTTTATAATGAAATTGTAATCCCCATGCACAAAGGGAAATATATAAAGGTGCAATATGATTCCTCGCTCTTTCTCTCGTTTTTATATATAAAAATATCTGGTCGTAATGAAATGAAGTACGACGCTATCTTTGTCGGAAAAGACATGCACGTGCACATGATTCGGAATCGATCCACCTACAGCAAAGCTTTCAAGTACGGAAAGGTGACATTAATTAACGATGTTTTTTGCAGTGTACGTGTTTCTTTACGAAATCCTAATTGGACTCGACATATAGATTATTGTAGTGAGAAATATAACATTGATGCAATACAGGATGACTTCGTTTTGCGGCCATTCTTTCGCGGAAGTTGCGTCATCGGGCTTTACTAGATATTTTTACACGAAAAGAATAGTTGTATTAAAGTACTTACAAATTCAAATCTCATATCTAAAAAATAATTTTGGACCATTAAACTTACATAAGACATTTAAGTATGATAATAATTCATAGCTGCACAATCTTTTTATATTCTATCAATCACTTTGAAACCAATTTCTTTCGTATAAATTTCACAAAATTGTTTAATATCCGCAAATATTAATTGCACGAGTTCATAATAATGATAATATCCATCGGAGAGAAAAGAATTTCCTATATAATTATTTTAATGGTTCAACAAAATTATCCTGCGGATCTATATATTTCTGTAACTTTCACGAAACGAAGACATCATCCAATGTTGAATCAACATTATATTCCTATTATTTTTCAGATCTGTATCTGGCCAAATTTTTAGATCCTTTAGAAGCAAAATTATTTTCTGTACGCGGAAAGAATAATTGTACTGAAAATAATTTTGTTGAGCTAATAATTACGTAGAATAATCAAGTTAATTGCTGAAATATTAAATATTATTATCATGCTTAAGTGTCTTACATTTTAATTTTGATGGTTCATCAAAAATATTTTTAGTCTATATCTGGTCGGATTACTTTCGCAGAACCGTTTTTTTCCATATATATATGTTATTCGCATAAAGTTCATATATTGTACAGCCATTCTCTTCACGGAAATTTTCATAGTTGTCAAATAGCGATAAGAAACTCTAAATGTTTATGACTCCGAAGTCTCTTTCTTTTTTTTACTACTAAAAAGTATATCATAAAATTGATACGGAAAAAACACTTTTGCTGTATCTTTTGTTGTATCTAACTTATTGTACCTTTTGAAGTAAAAATTTGAGCAGATATGGACCTAAAAATAATTTAGTTGGGCCTGCAAGCGCATTAACCAGAAAATTTATGTAGGACATTCAGCTTTATTGCTACAATATAAAAAATGGTTAGTATTATTATAATACTTAAGCGCCTTACGTAATAATTTTGATGACTGACTGCAATTATTTTCAGATTTATATCAGGTCAGATTTTTAGACACTTTAATAAAAAAGCGGTTTTCTTTCCATGCAACTCCTTGTAATTCTGGGTTTATCTTTTCATTCATATCATATATTTCCTTCTCTCATTTTGGAAATGAACTAGAACATAACATTTAATAGGTTTTCATTTGTAGGTTTGAGCGTAACTATTGTTAAACAAATCATGCTGTTAAATAAATTCGAAATGAATATCTTAAAAAAAGTTTTTCAACTCGCGCAAACGAAATTAAAAAAAAATCTCGAAAACTCATTGTCGCTTTTTATCTTTCTAAATATTCTGAGTAATCCATGAGGAAGAGAGATCTCTTCGTCCCAGTTATATTTCTTATATCCTTCAATGCGCTTGCAATATTTCTCCTTTACTTCAATGCGCTTGCAATACAAATATTTACACATATATTGTCTCTTATCTTCTGTTGAAATACTGCCCTATTTTTAGAAACGTCGAGGGAAAACGTGAGAGAATTCGGGCGAAACGAGCGGATCCGGGCGTTTGTAAGTCTCGTTTGTCGTTAAACGAGGATCTCCCGTTTGCGTGCACCGAAGAAACTTCCGTTCGACGAGGAAGCACGGATCCTCGATTTCTCCCGAGCTATTGCTTTCTCACACGCCGGGTCGCGACGTCGATGGAACGAGGAGGCGGGCGAGAGGATCGCCATCCCTCGCGAGCCTCGTTCGCTCCGATAACAAACTGATAACGAATCGGTGACCCGATTTCCTCTCGCGATCCGATAGCCACTCGGCGCTCGTTATCTGGCTTACCCCTTTTTCGCCGTGCATCGTCGTCGTTCGCCGTACGTTTTGCTAGCACCGCTCCACCAGCCGGAAGACCCGAGAGTATACGCCGGTGTGCCGCTGGATATAGACAGCACGTCGCCGATAATAAACGAGGGTGGCGACGAGCGAGCGCCCGCTTTCCTCCTCTCGTGCCGTGAGCTCTCTCTCTCCCTTATCGCTCGGTCGGGTGATCCGCGGAAAGAGGAGACGCGAGCGAAGACCAGCGAGGAGAGGGTTGACCCGCGTCACTCTTCCAAGGTTCCTCTTTATTCGGGGGAGCCTCTCTCTTATCCGTCACGCTGCCCACGATCGCGCTCGAATTATCGATTCGAACGTGGAAAGCAGCTCGTCACCGTCACCACCGCCACCGCCACCACCACTCTCGTCGCCGGCGCCGTCGTTGTCGTCGTCGTCGTCGTCGTCGTCGCGGTCACGGCGACGTTCCGTCGATCCCTCGCCGTCTACGACCGCGCGTTTCCCAGCGGGATCAACCGGACAGCCCGGTGCCGCGCACACGTATTTACCCCACGGCTGTGCGACTCGGCCGTCGTCCCCCTCACTGTCGTCGTCGCGGTCTGGTCTCGCTGTCTCGGTGCACGACCATCGTGTAAATGTATAAGTGTATCACGTACGATCTCTCTGCCTACCTCTCACGTTCGCCAACGTACTCCGAGAGCTCTCCCTCTCTCTTTCTGCCTTCACCCCCCCCTCCCTCTCCCCCTCGCGAGCTCTCACCATCACCCTCGACCGCGCGGGCGACACGCCGCGGCGCCGCGGCGTTCTTGCCCGTATCTCCACCCGTGCCCCTTACGTTATCAGCATTCGCCCGGGGGCAGTCGCTCGCCGCCCTCTCGCATGATTATCTTCTGCGCATAATTCATCGTTTCCATTATTTTATCTTCAAACGCAACAGTTATTTCCGCACGCGGAAATTGTTATCTCTTCCCTGATAAGCTTTGTTGATTGATTTAACATAATTTTTTTATTAAATTAAAATCAACATTTGATAATACACGAACGATAAGATCAGCCAGGCGCGATTTATTGGCGCCCGGAAAATCAAACCGGAAAAATCAAAAGCTCGCGGGCCCCGATTTTGATCCGCGGCATCGCGACGGCTTTGTGCACTTGCTTTCATCCCTCCTCGACCTCTCTCGTTCAATTTTCTGTCCCCCTGATGATGCGCTGGCGCTTCCGTGTGCCATAGACAGTGACGTCGAGACGCTTGCGCGTAATACGTCACTGGCCCATCCCTCCGTACCCTCCTCACCGTTCGTTGCACTTGCTCACGGAGGAGGGAGGAGAGAAACAGAAGTAATGCTATCATTTTTCAAATATCGATAAATAGATATCGTTCTACATAGCAAGTTTTCATTGTAATTAAAACATTCGGATTAATATTTATCTAATATTTCATTTGATGATTGTCATCTGAAAGGAAGGATCTCGATACTGCATTTTTAGCATTGAGATTTTTACTCTTAAAAGGCGTTATAATAACGACATTAACTGTGTAATTTTGTTTTTTAAATTATCAATTAATCGAAGTTGTTCTTTGTCCCTGTAGTTGCAAAGTCATTCAACTCTTTCATTTCAAAAGAGCGGTGGCTAAAATTATCGGCGATGGCGACATAGCTCGGTATTATTGAATCATAGACTATATCCGGTTTAGCATCGATGCCAAATATAGCGGGTATTCAACATTGCGACTTACAATATATGTGTTGTTCATTTTAAAGCTTCGGTTAACTCGAATAAAGAAATATCTCGAATTTAGCAGTCTCAAAAATAACGCATTATCAAAATAGCTTAAAACGTTAATAGGATTTTCACAATTTAGATAATTTCGATTATGTTGTTAATATTTCATCAATACCTATTTAATTACAGAGTTTAGGAACAAAATAGGATTCGCGTAGAATATATAAATATATCTTAATTTCTTACAGATAAAGAACAAAGTTTATCTATAATTTAGTTTATAAATAAAAAATATATAACTAGCTTGTTACATGGGGTTCTGATGAAATTTTACGGAATAACCGCCACTGTTGGGATCCTTTTGCAATTCGAAGTTATTTGTGGAAAGGCCGAAGGGTTTTAAAACCATGTTCCCTAAATCCTTTAATTTGCCCAACATTTCTGCCTTCAGCTTCTCATTTCTTTCATTGATTAACGGAGGTAATCTCTGGAAAGAAAGCGAAATTGTAAGAATGATTCTGCTTTTGAAATCTATTTATATAGCTCTTTTCAAAAAAAACTTGATTCATAATGTGATTTTAGATTTTTGCTCATTCTAATTCTTCTATTTTTCATTGAAGCAATTATTGTAATAATGTTATTTTTAAAATTAATATAAAAATTGAGAGATTTTAAAGAAAAAAATTTGTATCATTTTCTTTATATATTTTTCATTAAATAAAAAAAAACAAAGTCATAAACTTATATCAAAACAATGTTGAATTATGTATACAAGTATTATGTAAAATATATTTTTTATAATTATTGAATATTGTAACTTTAAATATGTTTTCTCATAAAATTAATTTTTGTTATCAAAATTTAAAAAATTAATTTTTTTAAATTACATTATTTTGAATACATTACATTTCTTTTGAATACATTACCCTGATAGCATGATTAGCCTCTGTATGATTAGGATCAAACGTCAATACTTTCTTGAAATCCTCTAATGCCTCATCTAATTTCTCTGTTTCTTCATACAACTGCGCTCTTCTTATATAAGCTTTGACATAGCTGGAATCTAATTCGATGGCTTTTGTACAATCGGATATAGCTGAATCTTTCTCTGACTGAAAGCAATAATTTTTTGATAACAATGTTAAGATGTCTATAAATATCATATTTGTCAATAGGTCAGTGCTTTTGACAATCACCTGACACTTTACTTTTGCTGCTGCTCTATTTGCATATAATATAGATCTTTCTTTAGTGTATACTAAAGGACAAGTTCGCAATCCCTCTGTGTATTGTGATATCGCCTGTACATATTCGCCACTTTTGAAGAGATTGTTGCCTGCTTGCTTTAAATTTTCCGCTTCATGCTTCAATGCCTGAAAGACAGATAAAAATTATAACATGGCGGGGAAACGATCATGGAAGATTACAGACGAGGTGTTTTACACAGAAACATCTCGAACGCACCTCCAGTTCGCTTTCCGTAAGTAACAGGTCCCTATCCTTGAGGAGATCCTCATCCACGTCTTCTACAAGATCCGTATTTTGCGCCTGATCGTCATTGTCCTCCTTATCGACGACATCCCACGAGTCACTCTCGAGCACACCCCTCGATCGCGCGTCCGCGTCCGAAGCACCATCCACTCGCTGGTCCCCATTTTCACGGATGCAAGAACTTTCTAGATCTCTAGTGAGCTCCTCTATGACCTCCTCGTTGGACTGAATTTGCGACTTATCATTCGTACTCGTCATCGTTCGGCGTCAAGCGGACGGCATGAATATCCCACGGAAGCCAAGTCGATGCGATGTGTCTCGATGCGCGTGTGTGCACGCATCAGCTGTGTGACGAAAACAACCTGAAATTATCGTTTTGAAATGAAAAAAAAGGTACATGTGAACTTGCGCATGCTCACGATTCGCCCTGACGTTCACCGAGTTGAGCGAGCTAATCGATAGATTGTTCGATTCTTGACCAACTTCGCTCGATTTTATGCGCCAGCCCGTTCTCTCAGCTGCACCGCATTGCACTTTTTGCACTCACATTGAGATACGTGACGAAAAATATTTGATGAAAAAGAGAGGGAAACGTGAAAAGCACAAAAAGTTCAACTGCAATAAATTTACAGGAGAATTTTTAATGTCGGTAGTTTATAATTTTATAAACTGCATCCCGAAATTCATCGAAAAGAAGTGGTTTGATGTCTCGATCGCATCGCGTGGGAGCTCATTGTGAATGATTGCCAGTCATTCATTATTCTGCATGTTAAAGTCTGCTATAAATAACATTGTTCAATGATGAAAACGTAATAATTGATAAAAATGCGAAATCATTGTTTTTTTCTCAGTCGATAAAAGAATTACCATTATTATCGTTCTTTCAATATGATATATATATGAAATGTTTTAAACTACTGAAGTGTGCATATTTTTCACATTTTTGCACTTAAATATTCCTGTTGGATAGCATTGAGTCAGCGTATAAATTTGTTTTTCGTAGCTAAATTTTTGTTCCTATCTTTTCTTTTCATCAATATTTTATTTTACGTATTTGCATCATTTAGGAGCAAAATATATGAGTGCAGCTACAAAAAATATATATCTTTCGTAAATATACTGGGAATATTTAGATTTGGCGATATGAAATTTTGAAACTATTTATGAAGCTTCGTAACATATACTTTTATATCGATGATAAAAAGATAAATCTAAAATTTGCCTCGCTGATCTTAGCTTATCTTTCGTTTATCTGATATTTCTGATTATATTTCTTATTTTATATTTTATAATAATAATTTAACATTATATAATTTTTACCCATACATATCTTGTAAGGCATATAAAAAAGAAATACAAAACAGAGACGAAATATTCGATTTAACGTTTAACAAATTCAATTATTTTACGTCATCTTACTATTTTGACTTTAAAATTGTTTTCTTACGTCTTACGTAACTCATCGTCAGGATTTTGAAAGCAAGAATGAAATAATGACAAAGAAGGAACAGTCGGCGATGTTTTTCCAATTGCTGGAATAAAAGTCGTACGAGCGCGTAGGCATCCAGGGACGGCCGCTCTTAATTCCACTCGTACGTCGTATAAATCATTGTAATCGTATGAATTAAGTGTAGCTGATTGGTAATAATATGATGCACGGTATCGAAGGTACTACATCGAACAAGGCCGCGGTGTAAATACGACGATAAGTCGTACTGATACCGTGCTTTAGATTAGGTTGCTTTAGATTAAGGCCCCTCTCGATACATTCGCTGGGCGAATTCTAAAGATATGTGCCCACGATACAATCCGCGAGTAAATATTTCAGCGTGATGAGAAATAATTGATCGATCGCTGGCGCGACATCGAAGGCGCGAATTAAAAGAAAGAGAAAGAGAGAAAGAGAGAGAGAGAGAGTGGGGGGGGAAAAGAAGGGAGAAGACTAATTGTAAACTAATTGTAAAAAGAAGAGAAAAAGAACGGATTAGAACGTAATTGGACTTCATTCGCTGAAACTTCTTTTTTTTTTGCTCTTTCCGCGGGGACAAAAAAATTATTTAACATTCGAAAAAACTCCGCATCTAAGATAAACTGAGCCACTTGAAATGGCAATCGATAAAGCGACGAAGGAGAGGGAGAGAGAGAGAGAGAGAGAGAGAGAGACAGAGCGAGTTGGACAAAGATAGAAAGAAGGGGTGGGGGATGCGGGTATATATATGCCCGATCAGCCACGTCGCTACCGTTTCTGTCGCGCGAGCGAGAGAGGCGCGAGAGTTACGAGAGATAGCTTCTCGCTGTCGTGTGTTTGTGTGCGGGTGCCCGATGCGGTGCGACGCGCGCTATACGCTTCATCCCGATGCGGCGTGCGAGAGTCAGGCCGAGTGACCCGGTGTTCCCGTTGACGCAATAGCTCGATCGTGGAGCTGGACGGCGCGACCGCCAGTCGTAAAGTGCCTTTTCTGTCATTAGCGCCTTCGCACGTAAAATGGTGAGTTGTCCCGCTCAGCGATTGCAAACTTGGGCGCAAAGTTCGCTCCTATCTCTTGTTTCTTTTTTTTCCTCTCCCTCTCTTTTTCACGAATCCGAGAAAAGTTCGCGGAACGTGTTGTTGTCACGCCACGTTCTAATGCAAATGCAGCAACGCAATGCTTATGCAAACGCAGTGTGATTATCGCGTACTTGTTACATGCATATATGCATGCTTACACACCACATCGTTTCAGTTTCAGAAGGACGGGGTGAGATTGAGACAGCACACGGCGAAGAGAAGAACGTCGGCCGAGTTACCTTACGAGAACAGAATCGCTTCGAGGAAGCAAGATGCACTGCCAAACAAGACCCAGCATCTTATCATCGTTCTCATGTACTTTCTCTTCGTATCGTTAACTATAATCGTCCTGGAAAGAAATTTGCCTGATCCGATTACCATTGACACCGAGGGACAGCATCCAGGAAGATTCGTAGCGGAACGAGCTCGCAATCACGTCGTGAATCTCACTTCGATCGGGCCTCGTATCGCTGGCAGCTACGAAAATGAAATCTTGGCTGTTAAGTTTCTAACGACAACGATCGATAATGTAATCAAAATGACGCATGAGAATCACAAGATTCTCCTGAATATTACAAAGCACAGCGGTGCATTTCCACTTAAGTTTCTCGATGGCATGACCAACGTCTATAAGAATGTACAAAATGTTATTGTCAGAGTTGGACCTCACAGGCCTACAATGTACAGCTTACTGCTTAACTGTCACTTCGATACATTTCTAGAGAGTCCAGGTAAAAATTAACACATAATATGTGATATGTTTCTTCTACATGCATTATCATCTGTATGAAAAATTTCAGGTGGTTCTGACGATGGTGCCGGCTGTGCCATAATGCTAGAAATTTTACGGATTATCACTCAAAGTCCGAGAATATTGAAGCATAGTATTATATTTTTATTCAATGGAGCAGAGGAAAATTTATTGCAGGTATATTAATTTAATATCCTATCTCGATGGAGCTAAGATAATGTGTTCTATAAACGATGTATTTTGTAGGGATCTCATGGCTTTATAACACAGCATCCCTGGGCAAAAGAAGTTCGAATGTTTATAAATTTAGAGGCATGTGGCGCTGGCGGTCGTGAATTATTGTTTCAAGCTGGACCACACAATCCGTGGATTCTTGAGGTACATTATCAAGCTGTTCTCTTCTCTGTTTGTTAGCATTAAAATTAATTTTATCATTCGTAATTGTATTATTCGTTAGATGTATGCCAAATCTGTACCATATCCCTATGCATCATCATTAGCTCAAGAAATATTCGAGAGTGGCATTGTACCTGGCGATACAGATTTTCGAATATTTAGAGACTTTGGAAAAATTTCTGGTGTGTACAGAAACTCATAGCATAGCTGTCTTGATAATTTATTGTTGTGATTGAAATCTTTATTAACATATCTGTAAAATTTCAGGCTTGGACTTTGCATGGTCGAAAAATGGTTACGTGTATCACACCAAATTCGATAACGTCGATCAGATACCATTAGGCGCATTGCAAAGAACCGGCGATAATATTCTTGCCTTGACACAAGGAATAATATTCGGAGATCATTTATCAGATACGCAAGAGATACGTGGCAGTCTCGTGTTTTTCGATGTTCTGGGCGCATTCGTTATTAGATGTTCTCAATATACTGCCACTGCAGTTAATATTGCCAGTATAATTATAGCTGGGTACTCTATTCGTTTGAATATGCAGAGTGCACGTAGAAGTAAGAATATATAATTATCATTATTTAGATCCGGCTGCCAGTAGACCTCAAATCGGTACTCATTTTTTCGAACAAATCTGAGTAATACAATCGAATCTGCGTTATCGGATACAGATATTAAGACATGGATGTATATGAAGCACGTGCTGATGTGCATTGGTGTGATCATCATTTCGTGGCTGGTATCTATCTTTACTTGTACATTAATCGCCCTGATCCTGACCAAGCTGGGAAAAGTGATGAGTTGGTACGCAAGACCGGCGTGGCTGTTTTTCTTGTACGTTTGTCCAACTATTTTTATGTCGATGATTGTGTTCCTGTATATTGGATCGAGACAAAAAAAGGTAAGTAATAGAAAAGAAAAAAATGAAATAAATTTCTTATATATTTGCAGTTTAGATATCAACAAGTAGATTTAGTAGACATGGTAGCTAGCTTTAAAGCTTCTTACAGCGTACGACACAACAATTAGTTAATACTAATCTATGATTGTAGGAAGTTGATTCTGCATGGACTTTGTATCACATGTACTTCGACGCATATTCTTTGATATGGATGTTGATTCTTTTTGTATGCGTCTTATTTGAAATACGTTCGGGCTTCATACCGCTTCATTGGGTTTTAATCCCAGCAGTAGGAAATATTGTGCGACACAATTTCTTCAATAAATGGAGAGGTAAGATTGCTTACAATAATTTCTACAAATTTTTATTATTTTTTTATGCTAATTTTTTTACATGCTAATATTGATAACTTTCTGTGTCAGTTATTTCAAAACTATTCTAATATTTGATTGAACGCACTTTTATGAATTTTGTAGACTGGAAGTGGCTTTTGTATCAATTGGGGCCATTGACTTTGTGTTACATACAATCATTTTACTTAACTCTCGGTGCTCTTTACCTCTTCATCCCGCTAATGGGACGATCCGGCGGCAGTATTAATTCCGAAGTTGTAATGGCTAACATGTTGTCGATATTTTTCTGTCAATTATTTTGCTTTACGGTAAAATATTAATAGCTTTAATCTTTTTCACATAACATATGATGCCTCTATATGTACAAACTTTTTCTAATGTTTTAACTCATAACATTTTCAGTTACCAGTAGTGCTTCTAATAAAGAATGCAGAACGAATTACAAGCGTAATCATTGGAATTTTCTTAATCGCTATTGCTGTGTTAATTTTAACACCACTTGGATTTTCTTATAGCGGTGACCCGTTGTCGCCCGCTCCAGAACGATTTATGATCGCGGTAACACCTTTTCTTTTCTTTTCTGAAATTTCCATTTTATTGGAGATAATTGTGGAATCACGTTTGTTGTATCGTTGATTTACAGCATAGTCAACGTCAGTATTATAATGCAGATGGTAGTGAGAGATATTCCGGTGCGGGATATTGGTTAGTTGATTTAGATATGAATAGTCCTCACAGCATAGAATCAATAGTACCTGAAGTAGCTGCCGCGATGCCAACAGTCAGGGATTGCGAAAAGGAATTATACTGTGGTTTTCCATATTTAATGCCGGTCACAACTTTCTTGTGGTAGGTGTCGTAGAATTGGTAATATATATTATTTAAAGATAAACGCGCGAACTGAGGAATATTTTTTTTTACAGGAAAACTACTTGGATACCTGGACCTGCTCCACTTATAAATATTCCCACAAATCTTGAGATAATTTCAAAGACTGCAAAACAGCATATTGTTAATTTTACCTTTAATGTTACAGGTAAGATTTTAATTAATGTTTATGTTCATATAAACACTTACGCGTTATTCCTTATAAATACTTTATACGCGTTTGTCTTTATAAATATTCTTTGAAATATTTTTAGGCCCTGATCACATAGGTATAATGTTGTCTCCATACAAAGGTGTTCATTTAGAAAAATGGTCTATACTCGATGGAAAACCGTTGCAAGGTCCAATGTGGAATGACAGGGAAACTTACTTCATCTATTACGCATGTGCCTCAAATTGCGTGCCATATACATTTTCTATCAAACTGAACGTAAGTCCGCGATGAAACATAGTCTATATTTCATCGCCTTGTACACACATTTATAAAATATCACTTGTGGAATTTTTTGTTTAGGTATCTGCAATACAAAAAGGACCGTGCTTATCGATCGCATTAGCCGGACATTTCTTACACGGCGAAAACCAAAGATCTCTAAGATTTAAGAAGTTTTTGGCACAGTTTCCATCGTGGACCGTTATCGCTCCCTGGACAGCATCGTACAAATCGTGGGAGCTATAACGAGAACAGTAGGACAATTGATGCGGTAAACGTGACTAGAATAAAGCAATATTGTTCTACGGCGTATCATCTCTCATGAATTAACAAAAGCCTAATAATACTATTTGGAGTACGATAAAATACGAAGCCTAATGCCATGGTGATGTAACATTGCTTGAATATTTAGATTTAGTCTTCAACTTCCTACAATATTACGAGAAGTATCAAAAAACGATAGAAACACGATAGAAAATAGAACGGGAGAAACGCTCCCGTTCCGAGTTTATATATGAATTTTTTACTTGCATATTATCGTTAATAAAGACGATGTCGAACTTAGCCTAAGACGTTGTTTCAGATTTAAAGAGATATCTCTAAATTAGATATTGAAAGATAATATAAAATATATTTGTCTGAACGCTTTCGAAGATGATAACTACGATTATTTTTCGTAGAAGATACGTAATATTGCATATCATAAGCTTCAGACTGATTCTATGCATTATCTTTCGAGTTTATAATTTTTATGTGGAACAGATATCGATAAGAGAAAATCTCTTATCAAAATTTAAAACTCTATTATACGTATAATATATAGAAACTGTGATGACGTACGCTCTCTTGGTACGCTTCAAATTTACTGGCTGAATTATCAGTACTAATTCAAATTGCCATTTCAAACAAGATTAATGGTCGTGATTAGCGCGTCCGTATTAGTGTGCATTATTGAACACATTCTACAAAAGTTAGTTAGACGCAAGTGCTGTCTACGACGTATGTAGACCATTTTGTGCTTCAGTATTTTAAAACTTGCATACATGCAATAGTTCACCGTTTAATCGCCTAAGTCTGTTGTTCGATACAGATTTGACGCTGTCGTTCACAAATTCGCCAAATTCCTCTCATGTAATAGACAATATAAATGGCAGCATGCGTGTATAATACTTTACATTTACGTCGTACCTTACTTTAGATATGATGAACAAAAAATTACTCGAGATACAAGATAATCGAATTTGCATTTTAAAGAAGTTTTATATTTCGAATATTTAATTAGTATAATAGAAGAAAGAGAACAAATTTTCGAATTTAAAGAAAGATACACGCACACACGTATGCCAGGATATGCTTAATACACATTGCACTCTATTCTCAAGTCTGATTATTTGATTACACCTTGGATGTAATAATCTTGATGAATATCAGTATCTTGAGAGCTCGCTTTTCGTATCCTTCATAATTAATCTATATCATTCCTCTTTTCCCTAGTTCTAAGAAAAATAATTCATACTTTTAATAGCATATCAGAAAAGTTGACATTTAACAAACATATTTCTGATATGAGTTAATAATTTTTAATTGTTCAATGTAGTCACTATCTTCTAATTACTTTATCTCTTTATCACAGTTGTAAACAGCGACTTTTTAAATCCTCTTCTCTATTTCTCCACACAGTTTTCCTCTCAATGAAAATATTCTTTTTTTTTTGCTTGCATTCAAGACACTTTAGGTAAATATTTTCATGCACATCTATTTCACGATAACGCACTTACAATATGATGAAGATATCATTATTTTGAAGATATCATTATATTCTTACACATGATTAAAAACAAATGTTCCAGTTCCTTTAATGTATTCTTCTCCATCTTTTTCGCAATTCGTAATTGATATAAATTCTTGCCAATGAACAACGAGCACTTTCGTCATTTAGTGAATACAAAAATTACTTTAATCTACAGGTAATTTGTAAAATATCTATTTTTTTTATATTTAGCAAAAGCAACGTAAAAACTATCACTTCAGATAATGAATTTTTTTCATGATTCCATAGTCGCTGATTAATTATGCCTACAAGTTATGCCACCTCATATAACTTATCGAATTGTTTACTTTACAATGCTTGACAAAATAGTATAGTATGAGTATAGTTATATTACGAGAGAGATTTTGTCGAAATCTTTCGCGGACAGAAAATTGTCTATGAATATTAGTGATAAATAGTACAATGTGATTCGTTATAAAAAAATGTTAAAATAGTTTTATATAATATAACAGTAGCGCGGGAAAAAAGGCTGTAGTCAAAACATAAGATTTTAGTGAAGCGATTTTAATGAAGATTAAACAATTCTATTATAGAGTATATTGAAGAATGTTTATGTAATATATTTTTGTATGCAGGTTCTCACAAATTGTTTCTCTTATGTTTCTCTTTCTATGTATAATTTACGTTATATAGTTACTACTACTAATACTTTTGCATTAATCGATGCATCTGTATTAAACTGTGGCTGTTTTATTTAATTATTCATTAATTCGCCTACAGTGCAAATATTTAACCAATGATAATGTTAATCTCAATTGCACAAATCTGCGTTCGCGATTCTACTTAATTGTGCACAAAGTTTTAAGAGATTGACTTGATGATTTTTAGTATCCCTATGCCTTTATTACGGCCTGAAATCGCAATCAAATTATATCCGAGTTATATTCGCCTATTTTATCTTTTTTTTTTTATTTACACGTTATTTTTTTTACTTACATGAAAATATCTTTTTATGTGTTCCGTGATTGCTTAGGCGACGGTAATTACGATTACTCGATTATCACAATGCGCAATAGATGTAGCGCGCTTGTTAACAGGGTCTTTATTTTATTGTTAGGAGTAAAACGAAGTTTTATAAGCCTCGCCATTTTCGCCGTTCTGACGAATGAGAATTCTAGATTAATGAGTGCAATCGTTCCCGATGGGCGTCATGCCTGAAAATCATACAGATACTTGTACTTCAGTAACTTCGTTTTACGCCAAAATTCCGGCCAAAGGAAAAGGATCCATCCATTGCGTAGTGAGTGTACAATTGTAGTTGCCTATAATTCGTTTTTTGTTATCCTATGTATGCAGGACAGCATCTTACGTTAGTGATAAAATACCATAATGACTGGGATTTAATTCGATGAATTTAACGTTCGATAAACAGAGCATATTAATACGTATTGATATGTATATTGTTTTTCGTCCCTTCCGCCAATTTATTTATACACAAGCGTATGTTCCTGCTTGCGTTTTATTAAATTACTGATATACATATATTGCAAATATTGTTACTTGGCAGTTGTTGTTACATGATTAAGAGAATATATGAGAGAGGAAATAAAGAATTAATATTGATAGCAATTTCTTTTATTTTTAGTGAGAAATTCTATTAATAGGAGCATTTAATGGCGTTAATAAATTTATCATATGGGTTAAAATTGTATATACTGACGTATCAATACTTACATTTTCTTTTTTATTAAATTTTATTAAAATTAAGTTTTATCGATATCTGATTACGTTTTTTACGTTTAATCGAAACGGAATAGTCTTTGTTATCCAACAAATCTTTTGTTCACCGAATCAATTTCCTGTTTCCTGAACAACACTTCCATGTTTGTTACAACGATGACATTATTTAAGTCTCACTCGCGTAACGTAAATTACATTGTCAACTATAACAATTTGTCTGCAAATTATGCAGACAAATATAATTTTTCTAGATCCAGAAAAATCCAGAAAAAAGAAATCAAGTATGATTTGATATATATAAAATAATTATATTTATTATTATTAATATTTAAAAATGTTTGTGTTTAAACACTAATAGCTATGTTAATCGTTATATGTGTTAAATATACACATTTAATACGTTAATTATAATTATCAACACACACACACACACATATATATATATATATATA